GGGACAGGAGCAGCACAGCTCAGCCCTGGGAATGGCCCAGGGACAGGAGCAGCACAGCTCAGCCCTGGGAATGCCCCACCTGAGGGAGGGGGCTTGGACCACCCCGGCTTCCCAGAGCCACGTGTCCCACTGCCCCCCTCCTCCTGCCCCCAGTTCTCACCAGCAGACCCCCAGCACTCCCCTCCTTCAAGGAGCTTCCCAGACCCCCATCACCGACAGCCCCGACTCCCCCACACCAACTGTGACACGACTTAAGGCACAAACTAAAAACTGTGGTGACAAATCAGGGGGCCCTTTATGTTGGCAACCAAAGAGAACAAGCACAACCAAGCCCAGGGAAACACCAGTTTGTATCGAGAGAAAAACCAACACCATTTCTTCAAAATATAAAAAATGAAAATGCTTTTTTTCAACTTAAAATACAGCATTTCACTGTAGCTTGTGGATTATTTATTTAAGCTTCCATTTAATTTCTTTTAAATTTTAGGTTAATTTGCAAATGAAAAATGTATTTTCCATGGAGACCTTAAAACGATGGGTAAAGACTTTTCCCATCTTGTCTTCAGAGCAGTTTCCTATTCACAAACAGTGTTGGGACCCCTGACACTGCTATTTTTTGGCACACTACGAATTCATCACACAAACCCCTAAGCCCAGGAGACATCTATTCAGCTCGAGTTTGTTTTAGAATGCATCCATTTAATCTAATTTTCATTAAAAGCTTGTAAGTCTATTTTAATTCTTTTTAATATTTCACATTTTCATTATTTTTTTAATGAATAGTGGCATTTTAGTCACTCAGGTCAAGCAACCAAATATGAACACTGTCTAGAAAGAGATTTAATTTCTCCAGGCAAGCATGAAAAATCCCCTTCTTTGTATTCAAACAGATCTCCCAGGCCATCTCCTGGGCTCCAGGTTCATTCCTGTTTCTCTGGTTGATGATATTCTGCAGTTTCCCGACAGGAAGCTCCACATGGCACTGAAGGGAGCTCAGGAACCTCCCGACGATGAGGCTGAGCCCTGGGCACTTTTCCATTCAGCACGTTAGGATTTCCAGCTCCATGTGCCTCCACGAGCATCCCCAGGGAGGACCAGCCTCCACCACATGGTCCTGCCCCAGGAATGCCACTGGAAAGATGCCAGGAGCTCGTGTAAATGCAGCTCCCCAGCCTCTGCTGCTCAGGGCACACAAGAAGCAGGGATAATTCCGGGATGCAAATTCCTCTGAAAGCTTCATTAGGTTCCACCTTATTCAAATAAATTCCTGTGCTAAGAGAATTCCAGCCCAGAAGCTGCCTCAGAGAGTCCTAAATAAACACAGGTTTCTGGAGAGCTCACACGAACCTGAGGCACATTGGAAGCAGCACACACAAAGCCATACACACAAACACTCAAAATATAATGGGATATAAGGAGTAAATGATCATTTACAGAGCTCAGCAGAGCAGAGAACGTGAGAGGCATCACTGAGGCCTTTCCTGGGCATGGTGGGGCGTGTCCAGCAGCTCCTGGGCTGCTCTGCCATGGCCATGTCTGTCCCACATCCAACACTGAGCTCTGCAGCTCTAAGGGTTATCCTCCAGCATTCCACCTTCTCCCTGGGGGAGTCCCTGCTCTGGGGCTCCCACACTGGTCAGCCAGCCTGGAGCTGCCCTGGCTGAGCTGGAGCCGTGTGTTCAACGGGCAGGGCAGACAATGGGCACTTCAGGGGGTCACTTCCCTGATGTGAACAAACCCAGCAGCTGAGAACAGAAAGGGGGGCGACCATCAGTGACACACCTGCAGCAGCATCACCTCACCTGCACCAGGAGGGAAGGGTCCAGGGTGAGGGTCAGCACAGGATCACCGCTAATTGGGGTCATCACTAATTGGGGTTTTACAGTTCAGTGTCCTGAACAAGGGAAACAAGCCACTCACCCTTCTGGATGATCTTCTGGGCCTGCTTCCTGACCCGGGCGTTGCGCAGGAACCGCCACTCCCTCTCCTTGCGGATCTGGCTCTCCAGGTCGTGCTCTTCAGGGATCTTTCAGGAGAGGAATAGATACACAAAACAAACCAACAATGACCATCACAACTCCAGGAATTAGCTGACTGATCCCACAGTCCCTGTGACTCCCGTCCCCTCCAAACAGAAGTCTGGTACAATCCAGATTTCTCTGTTTAACACTCCTCAGCTGAAAAGCATCACATAGCAACCCTGAGATAAAGGGGGAACACAGCTCTGCTCCAGCCAGCTCAGAACCCACTGAAATCCTTCTTCCCCTGCTAACCAAGGACCGCAGGCCTAGAAGGTCACAGCTCCTTCCCAAATCCCCGGGATGCTCAGGGTCCCACCACCATTTACCAGTAACAGCCTGTTTTGGTTCCTCGCACTGGAACGTGATCCCCTCGTGTCACCTGGGTTTGATTACACACAAAACTCCCCCAGAAACTGTGGAGCAGCCACAGCCACTCTGAGCTATTTGATGATATTTATTCACGCTCCACAGCTCCAGGTTTTGGCACTCCACGGCTTCCCTGCAAAACCTGTGCTCCAGGCAGAAGGCCAGGTCGGGATTGGGCAGCTCCTGCCCAGGATGGGAGAAGTCCCAGTGCTGCTCCCACCACGGGCATCCCCACCCTTAGTCAGAGCACAGGATCAAAAGGAGTAAGCCATGTGATCTCATCCCCAAACATGGCAGGAGCTACATAAGAGGTGTAGCATTTTTAATGCTTAAAACGTTGTCCAAGACCAGTAACCCCCCTGCTCTGGAGCCATTCCTGGATCAGTGAAGGGGCTGAGCTACAGGACTCTGATCCAGCTTCTTTTGATGCTGGCTGTTCCAAAGGAGTAACTCTTGGAGAAGGGAGACGAAGTCCTTCCACTCCTTCCCTGTGCCTCAGAAACACACTTTTTCCCTGGATAAGAAAGTACTTAAATCATCTGTCACTATTACAGTGCCTTCAAAACACACTATACTTAGGAAAACACTATCAGAGCTGAATTTCTGCTTCTTTAAAACAAATAAAAAAATAACAAGCCCACCCTCCACCTTTCCTCCTGGTAAAAAGAAAAAAAAAAAAAAAGGTATTTCTATTTCAGTACAACACCTATTAGAAAGGCAATGACAAACGACCCATAATGTAAAGCAATAAACAAACCTGAGCTAAAATACATCAAAGGAATTTGAGAGTGGAGAGATGACACCTACACCTTAATGAAAATCCAGCTTCTCTGGGAATAAATTAAAGTAAGCCCTAAAAGGCCAAGGAAGAGCCCTTGGACCACCACTGCAGTGAGTCAGAGCACACAGGAAAACAGCATCCTGGCCCCCCGTGCCCACCCACCGGCAGGGCTGGGCTGTGGGATGGCCCTGCCAGCTTCCCAGGCACAAACCAGCGACACCTGAACCCTCCCACCTTGCGGGGCGTTTGAAAGTCAGCCAAATTTTCCTTCTCTAACACCGTATCTCTCCCTCATGCCATGGCAGTGGGTGCCAGGAGGGCAGCAGGGAGGATTTGGCGCCCGGCTCCAGTGGTAGATCCAGTTTTCCCTGGGTAACATTCCTGCAGCAGTTGCAGGGAGCTCACTTCTCTCCCCGGGCTCTGAACGGCGGCCAAGGCACAGCGCTGCAGCTCGGGCAGGCATTTATCAGGAAGGATTTCTTATGTAATTCTCACCTTCCAGGATCCTTCCCAGCTCCTGCCTGCATGTTCTGCCAGTCCTGGAAACAACAGATGCCGGCTCCCTCGCTCCTTGCCTCAGGACTTCCTGACAGCTGGCAGCCAGGCTTTCCTGCGCCGCGCGCGCCAAGGCCGCCCGTGGCTCCCAGAACAGCCTCGTGCCACGAGGGATGTCAGGGAGAGGAAAGGCTTTTGCAGAGATCAGAGTTGGGGTACAGGGAGCTGCTCTTCCTGGCACACGGACAATTTGCAGCGCAGTGTTTTCTTTCCCCGTTTATGTGATTAGATAATCGATAAATCCAAACCGGGATGATGGTCTGAAACGGAGCCCGTGATTTACACTGGAAATTAATCCCTCAGTCTTTCCAGTGAAAGCATTCTCAGGGCAAGGTCTATGAAGCAAAACTAAATTCATAAATTAAATATGACTAAGATGCACTCACAGTCATTTTATGTTTATTCATTACAGGAACAGTTGTCTTGTCTTTCCCTGTTTAAGAAGGCAGGCAGCGGCTCCAAATGAACGGTTGGAACTAAGCATCAATGTCATCTTTTTCCATCAGTACTTGGTAGACTTTACTCTTTGCCTTTTTCATGAGGCTGAAGCTCCCAAAAGACAGCACCAGGGCTGTTCCTGTCGCTGCAGGAACGGGGACTGAAGGAACAGAGACTCCATGGAAACTCAGGCAGCACCCGAGCTGTCAGTCCTGCTTGGCTTCCAACCAAGAAACCTCAGAGAAAGTTCTCCTAAGGGGATTTCTTCCTGTCCCTTGCACACACACCAGCCACTCTTAACTCCAAAGTTATGTATAATTCCCTGTTAGGATGGGATAACACTCCAGTTTTCCTGCAGAAACCATCTCCTTGGCTTTTTAAAGATGCTTTGCAAAAGTAACGGGGAAATAATTCTCTTCCTCGTTTTATTAGAAAATACAGATTTGGTTTTGCTCACTGGCACTTGTGGGATGCTCAGGGTGCAGCTGCAGCACTTCCAGTCCCCTGGGAGACACGGAGCACTCTGGGACTCCAGGAAACCCTCGATTTCCATGACTCCCCCTCCCTGGCTCCTATGAATTAGCACAGGAATGCTCCATACTTTTTACTGCTTCCCCTAAAGTAATTTTGTCTATTTTATGGACATGAAGTAGCAGTAAACCCACCCCCCACACACAGAGCTCCCCATGCACCCACTGCCCCTGCCCGTGCCTGGCTGCCTACTGTGATTTATTTTATTAATAAAGACCCTTCTTCTCTGGGAAGAGCTTTCCTTAAAGAGCAGACAAATGTTTTCAATAAGAACAAAGAGCTCAAACACCATCTCCCTCCTCCTGTGTTCTTGTCAGGACTTGAATCAAGACACCAAAACTCATCTTGATGAGAGAAAGCCCTGGCTAAAGCTGACCAGGCAGCCCAGCCCCACAGGCCAGATGTGTCCTAATGAATTATTCTGCTCGTGAGATCAGGAGAGAGGGAATTTCACAGCAGCTCAGGAAGTGTCAGGCAATCACTTCACCAGCTACTGCTTCCTCCTGGTGATTCCCTATGGAAATCAAGAACCTGCCAGGCAACTACTGTTCTGATATCCTAAACTTGGGCAGTTACCCCCCCCAGACACTTCAGTGTGCCTGAAGAGTGGGGATGGATGGCTCGGTGGCAACTCCTGGATGAGACAGTACTTAAAATGCACAATTTCCTCATTATTAAGATTTAAATATCAGTGGTTGGAATCAAACATCCGTTGTGGAAGTGGCCTTAATGCAGGCTGGGCATTGTCCTTCCCAGACACAGCAACCCCTCCAAGAAATGGAGCTGAAAGCCCTGACAAGTTTGGGCTCCCTGACGACTCCCAGAGCACCTGGAGGTTTGCTTTAATGAGGGAGATTTACTGCTTATTTCATACTTAAACCTGAAATCTGAGCTTTGGCTAAAACATTCTGGGAATTTAACAGCTAAAACATTCTGGGAATTTAACAGCTTCTCCTTCCAGTCACTGATGATCTTTGCCCATCTCTCAAGAGCCCAGGTTTGTGTTTTTCCTAGAACAAGGCTTCAGTTTATCGTTCACTTCATGCAAAGACAACTAAGTTACACAAAGAGCTCGCTCCCCAAAAGATCTGGGTGCAGATTTGTCATTACCATCCTTATTCTTTGCCATAACACAACTGCTTTTATTTTTATAAACTTTAAAACCCAGCAGTGAGGGTCCCCAAGTTTCCTCCAGGAATTCCTGTGGATGCCCAGCCACGCTCACTTTCTGCTCTTTGAGTTAAAGGTGTCTGTCCTGGGTGCCTGGGATCAGAGCACAGCTCTGAAATCCTGCTCGAGGACAGAGTGAAGCCACAGGTTCCTGCTGTCACTGGGATGCTCTGACCTCCCCCCAGGGCAGCAGCCTCCCTCCACCATTTCTCTGCCTCTTTTAGCATCCCCATAGCCAGGAAATTCAGCTGGAATGTCAGAAAGAAAACAGCATCTCTCCTTCTCCAGCCTCTCACAGCCCTTTCTGGAAAAAAGGACCTTCCTTACTCCATTTATTTGTATTAAAAAAATCTATTAATTTTAACTATAATGCAATTTTCAGTATATAGAGAAGCACAACATTTCAGATGAAACAACTCTGCAATGCAGCCAGGCAAAACTGGTGGATCTGGACTACAGAACCTCTCCTCACTTTGACATTCTTTGTTGATCGTGTTCCCATGGGGTGCAGGGTTTTTCCTCTGGGCTCTGTCCCTGGTCATACCCCACTTCCCCAATCTCACTCTTCTGCTCCCTCTTATTTCTTCTTCCCTCTTATTTACAAGCACAGTGGTCCCACAGCTCCTAGAGCAGCACGATGCAGGTAAATCCACCCCTTTCCCTCCCCAGACTGGAGGAAGAGCAGGGCAGGCAGGAGCCCAGCAGTGCTGGGGGGCTGGGAGAGCCCCCCCAGGGGATCAGGTTACCTTCATCACGGGCTGAGCAAAGTACTTGGCGCTCCAGTCGCAGAAGCCCGTCTGCACCGAGGCCGAGATGAAACTCTTGTGCCCGACGGCGTCGTCGGCATCGTCGGCCGTCTGCCAGGAGAGAGAGAGAGGGTGTCACCACCCCAGGGCAGCTGCGGGCACAGGGACACCCACACTGCCCTCAGCCAGGCAGCAACAGCCTCGAACACACTGCCCAGGACAGGGAACTCTGTGCACCCGGCTCTGGGATCGCTCCTCACAGTCCCCCCTTGGGAAGGAGCAGGGACACCAGGCTGCTGCAGGGACTGGGGCTGTGTCACCCCCGGGTCACCACAGGGAGGGCCCAGCAGGAGTTTTCTCACAGTGTCCCAAGCAGCTGGAGCAGTGAGGATGACTCAGGGTCCAGCCCAGCAGACACAGCTGCACGCCCAGGGCACACATGGACCAGTGTCTGTCACACAGCACGGGACACCCACACAGAACAGGGAAAAGCTGCTCCATTCACTCAGGTTTCAGCCATTTTTTCATAAATACGAGCCAGGCTGGTGCTGCCAAACCCCTGAGAAGGGAAGGTGTTCCTGCTGAGGCTGCAACACTTCCTTCCTGGGATCACACAGGACAATTTCCCCCGTCTCTGCTCTGCTGAGGCTGGAGAGCAGCCTCTGAGGGTCATGGATCTGACTCTGGGTTATCACTCAGACAGACAAATGTTCACGAAAGAATAAGCAATCGACTCTGATTAAACACATTTCTTAGTGGCAGAAGTGAATAATGCCCCATCAAAAGCTATAAAACACAATTTATCCTGAAGAAAAAAAATTAATCAATTTTTATTTGGTTGGTTAGAGGAAGCCAATCTGGATTAGCAGCAGCTGGAAGCAAACGAGGGATAGACAGAAATTAAACCCCAACGAACAGAATGTGTGACAAACCCCAGCAGGGGGAAGCAGTCAGACCTGACAGGGAAGGCTCCTTACCTGTTCTGGCCCTTTGTCGAACATTTTCCTCGTCCTGGGGAACTGGTGGGAGTGGGGGGTGTACTGGACCCCCATGTTGCCCACGTTGGCAGGTCGCACGGACGCCATGTCCCGGCTCACGGGCTGCTTGGTCACGTCGTTGGTCAGGCTGGAGCTGCTCGTGCTCGTGGTTGGGGGGGACCCTCTGAAGGTCACAAAAAAGAGGGAAAGGATTTAGGCTTCGCTGGACACCCAGTGGAGTTACCTGGGATGGGGCTGGGCAGGGAGCACTGATCCCCCTGGCAGAAGGGGCTGGACTTACCCCACTTGGTGGATGTGCATCCCCTTGTTGGTGGGGCTGGCGGGGGCCGACTGGGTGAGCGAGGAGGTGTCCAGGATGCGCTGGGGGCGAGCGTTGACCGTGGCCTGGAGAGAACACACGGAGCCCTGAACGGCCGGAGCGAGGCCCAGGTCACACCCACACCACTGGGGCTGCAGGGACTGAGCTCTCTGCAGTGGGGGGCTTAAAATGAACATGGAAAAGCCCCTGTGCTGCTCCCAACACACGAGAGGATTTCGCCACTTGTGTAGTCAGAAAACACTTACCAGTAAGTGCCCCCGTGTTGCCTGCACGGAAATGGCTCTGAGCAACACATCAGCCTTTCCCTGAGCCAGCTGCAGCCCAGGACCTGCACCAGCACCCCAAAAACGTGGGCAAGGAGACAGCCCAGGGTCTCCTCAGGTGCCACTGGACAAGGGGACAGCCTGGGGTCCCCTCAGCAGCCCAGGGCTCCCTGCAGCCTCCAGCCTCTCCCTCCCACCTCGTGACTGAGCTCCCACCACGACCTCAAGTGACAACACGTGTTCTGAGCATGGAGAAAAGAAGGTTCACTCCCTACAACTCCCTGGAAAGAGGCTGGAGCCAGGTGGGGGTCGGGCTCTGCTCCCAGGGAACAAGCAACAGGATGAGGGGAAATGGCCTCAAGCTGTGCCAGGGGAGGTTTAGGCTGGATATTGGGAACATTCCTTCCCTGAAAGGGCTGTCCAGCCCTGGCACAGCTGCCCGGGGCAGTGCTGGAGTCTCCATCCCTGGAGGGATTTCAAAGCCATGTGGATGTGGCACTTGGGGACACGGGTGAGTGGTGGCCTTGGCACTGCTGGGGAAGGGTTGGACTCAATCTCAGAGGGCTTTTCCAACCTCAGTGATTCTGTAATTCAGCCTCAAGCCTTTCATTAAAAACACCTGGATGAAGCAACTTGGGGGGAAGCAAACTTTCCTTTTAAGACTTTTTGATTTCAGAAAGCCTTTAGAGGCCACCACTGAATCCTGGGTCCTCTTTGTTTGTTTTGGTACTCCAAAGAGCTTGTTTGGGCGCTTTCCAAAGCTCAGGCCGGGAAGGAGAGCTGCACCATTCCCATCTGCATCATAAACATAAATCCCAGCCCAGCCGCAGTCTGGGGGAGAAGCAGCAGTGTCTGAAGGGCCCAGGGAATAAAGCAGCAGATTTCCTGCAGGAAGGCTGCATGCCTGGGCAGCCCACTCACCGTCTGCTCACACACAGCCCCATCCCCACAGCCCAGAGCCAGCCTGCAGACACAGAGCCATGGTCAGGGCTCCGCTAAAAACCCAAACAGGGCGGGCTGGTCTCGTTTGAAAAGAAAAATCCCTGAACCCCAGAACAGCTGGGGTTGGAAGGGACCTCTGGAGATCATCCACTCCAACCCCCCTGCCAAGGCAGGGTCACCTCAAGCAGGTGACACAGGAACACGTCCGGGTGGGTTTGAAATGTCTCTGGAGAGGAAGGGTAAGATGGGATATTGGAAATAAATCCTTCCCTGGGAGAGTGGGGAGGCCCTGGCACAGGTTGCCCAGAGAAGCTGTGGATGCCCCATCCCTGGAAGTGTCCCAGGCCAGGTTGGACGGGGCTTGGAGCAACCTGGGCTAGTGGAAGGTGTCCCTGCCCATGGCAGAGGGTGGAACTGGGTGAGTTTTAAGGTCCCTTCCAACTCAAACTATTCCACAGTTCTGTGATAAACATTTAGTTCCCCGCTACCATCCAGAGGAAGAAGCCCCTGGCTTGTTTGTCCAGGTGCTTCCCCTGGAGCTCCCCAGTTCCCAGCCAGGTCTCCCAGACCACAAAGTTCTGCTCAGCTGCGTCAATTAAGGAATCCTCAGCTGTCCCAGTTCTAAAATGAAACCTCTTCTTCCCCGAATTTTTAACTAATTACACCAAAATATTAAATCCCTAGAACACTCAAGTGGTTTACTTCACCTGAAGCAGTATTCTTGTGGAAGCAAGAAAATCAGTTTTTGTTTGTATTCACTGATAAAATTCAACCCCCAAACTGGGAAGTGTTTGCACAGACTGGGGAGGACAGACGTGCCCCAGCATCCAGGTGCTCCCTTCTCCATCCAACAAAGCTCCATTAGCACCAAGGAAAGATCTCAGGATACAGTTAGCAAAGATTTAATAGTCACTAATTTGCATTAGAAACCAGAGAGCTCCTGCCTGAGCTCCCAGCACAGAGCCTGGAGCTCTGGCTGTGGGTCCTGCAGCTCCAGCTCCTATCACGGCAGGGCTGTGGCCAGAACAGAACCCATAAAGGCCAGACCATGACCTGGGATCTGAGCCTTAAATCCCATTTTGATGGGCATTTAACAGGTTGTTTGGTCTTTGTTCTAATAAGAAAGCCTTGTTAGAAGGCAGCCAGGCCAACCGTGACCTGGGATCTGAGCCTTAAATCCCATTTTGGTGGGCAGTTGGCAGGTTGTTTGGCCTTTGTTCTAATAAGAAAGCCTTGTTAGGAGGCAGCCAGGCCAGGTGGTCCTGGCCAAAGCAAAGCCCACAGCACTGACACGGTGCCTGGAACCACCGGGCAAGGTCCATGTTTAAACACTTTCCTCACGGATCTCATGGCTAAGGCAAAGAGAACAAATAAGTTTTGTTCACTGAAGCATCCCCAGATAAAAATCCCTGTAAACAGGAATGCTTCTTGTTTTCCAAACCCTTTGGAAGAGCTGTTGCCTTAGGAAGCAGGGACAGACCAGCTGACGAGACACAGCGTGAGATGCATGAGACCCATCACCTGAGCTTTGGGACTCTGGTCAGTACCAACACAGTTTGGTCCAAACTGCTCAGAATCAACACAGAATTTACCCAGTCAGTCATAACATTCCCTAGGGATATCACAACATAACGATCACAATTCCTGCTGGCACCAGCAGTGCCAGTGAGGGTGGCTGCAGGGCACAGCAGCACCAGTACTGGTATCAGTCCATCTCTCCATTGGCCAGGGAGCAAGTCCTGAAAAAATATTCAAGTGAGGAAAAGGAGATCTGGTTCCTCTTTATATCCCTTTTAAAAGTAGGAGCAATATTTCATTTTGCAAAGAGCCTGCCAAAATACAGAACTGAAACTGTTTCATGTATCTAGAGCAGAGAGAGCGAAATCTTCCACCTTTTCCCTTCTTTCTTCCCCTCACTTTGGCATCTCCAGCCTGGCAGTCATTTGTTGTACTCCCATATCACCAGGGAAGGGCTCAGCTCGTTGCCCCCACTGCCAAAATAATTCCCTCTCCCAAACCCAGCCTTGACTGCTCACTGACACGTACACTTCAAACAAATGAAAGTGTTCAAATAAGTAACTATCGTCCCAAGAGAAAATATGATTTCAAAGCAAGAAATCTCTAGGGCATTAAGATGGCAGTGCACAATGCTGGCATCTCTTACTGCAGCTTCAGCTCAGCAGCCCAAGGCTGAAGATCTGGGATTATTCTCTGGGAATGACCAGTAAGAGACGTCACCTGGCATTGCAATGGCTCATGGTCTCGATGCTTCAGCGACCAGAAAGCAGGGTCAGACAGAGCTTTCTGTGCCCAGCCCGGGCCGGGGGAGGCAGGTGGTGAGAAGATGTTCTGGGGTGGCCTGGTTTGGGTGGGGGGGGAGGCACTGCCCCCTCCCCAGTGACGGCAGCCTCCAGGGACATCTTGTCAGCCTGGGAGGATGAGATGGGATGAGGATGGAGGTTTAGGCGCCCAGCCTGGGCTGGAGGTGAGGAGTGGCAGGGTGTCTGCATGCTGACTCACATGTACTAGTTCACCTGGGTTGGAGAGCCGTTGTGGCTTCAGTCTGCAGGCCAGTCCCACTTGCATTATCTAAATCAGTTTGCAAACGGATAATTTAATGAAGAATATTTAAAGGTTTATCCCAGGGACTGATCTAGACAAGTAGACTTCTAAACCAGACCTACTGTCAGAGGTCTGCACCTAATTTATACCCTAAAACAACCCCAGGCCCTCCCCCATTTATTCATTTTACCTGATCAAGAGTTCATAGGAGAGTTTATCATCTCAAAGCATTAAAAGCTCCTTCTGCAATAGGCAGAGCCCTCCAACAGACCCATCCAGGTCAGTCTGCCTAAGCCTTGCCTAAGCATGAACAAATCCACATACAAACACCTGGCAGGCACAGGTGAGCAGGGACAGGCACATACCTTGTAGGCAATGCTGTTGAGAACCTTCATGGCCAGGTCAGAGACGTCGGGGTAGGGGTCGGCAGCCAAGTGAAGGAGCACTCTCCAAATTTGGGTATAAACACTGTTGAAACTCACACCTAAAATAGTAAAAAACACAACAAACCCAAAGCCTTGTGCTGCAGCACATGACAATCCATCAACTCCAACTCTTTGATCTGATGTGAGAAAATTCATTAGAACTCCAAACATCCCCAATGACATCTCAGGAAACATCAAGAGAGGAGCTCAAAAACACCCCACATGGGAATTTTGTCTCCCTTTTGCCTGTCTGTGAACTCTGCAAGGGCTTGTGAAATCAAAGTGGGAGAAAGCCAAATAAATTTAAGACTCCCTAAATCAGCTCCAGTCAAGCTGCTGCTTTTCCAGGCTCCTGAAGCAAATCACCTGGAAAGGCCAAGTGGATAATGTCCAGGTTTCTTGAGCTAAAATACTAAATGCTATAAACCCACTGCCTTATATTTTTGTGATTATTTTTGTCGAATTGTTTAGGGGTTTGTGCATTCTACAAGTTTACTAAATGTTTAAACCAAAGCTTTAGGAGCTGAGCCTTTGGGAAGCAGTGAGTCCAACTCAGTCTTTCCTACTGACATTTGTATCAATCCCTCCAATTTGTTATTTAATGAGCATATCTGCCATTTGGTATTACAGCAGAAGGGACCGACAGATTCAAAGTACAAATCAAATTAATAAGCATTTGTAACAACTGACAAAATCCTGTGAACATTTTATTTTGCTGCTTTTAGGCGAGTAGTTTGTTATTCTGTCTCCGAACCCTCCCGGTGTCTAATCATGCAACACCCCAGTTGGGAGTTGAGCCATTTGGACAATATTAAAGTGGTTGCACTAACAAAAAAAAGGAGCTAAAATAGAGATTTCAGATGAGTCACAATCAATGGTAAATGACAGATCAAGCTGTTACTGCTTTTCCTCTCGTGTTTCTGGAGGCATCTAAATATAAAGTTGGGAGGAAAGGGCTCCTTGGTCACCAAGCAGCTTCTGACCTGGCAGAGGTGCTAAACCTGATACTCAAAGCAGCAGAACAGACTGGGACAGACCAGTTCTGAGCTCTGGCTGAAGGCAGCAACAAGCTCCAGGAGCCCACAACAGGCTGCCCCTCAGATGCTGCTCTGCCTGCCCAGGGGAACCGTCCTCTGTCAGGACATCCCCAGATTGTGACAAATCACTCTGCAAAGGACCAAGGCAATATCCCAATAACCCAACTCCTCCCTCTCCACCTCTCCAAACTCCTCCTCCTTCCACCTGCAAAGGGTCTCTCTCTCACCTGGAAACCAAAGGATGTTCCAAGTGATGTCTGCTTAAATTCTCACCTGGAAATCTCACAAGTGTCTATGATGGGACCACTTGGACTGTGCTGCTCATGTGCTGGGGGTGACCCGCAAAGAGTCCTCCAACTGACCCCAGCCTTTCCAGAGCAGGTCAGGGACAGAGCCTGACAAATCAGAGAATCCCAGACTGGTTTGGGTTGGAAGGGATCTTAGACTATCCCATTCCACCTCCTGCCATGGGCAGGGACACCTTCCACTAGCCCAGGTTGCTCCAAGCCCCGTCCAACCCGGCCTTGGACACTTCCAGGGAGGGGCCAGCCACAACTTCTCTGGGCAACCTGTGCCAGGGCCTCACCATCCTCACAGGGGAGAATTTCTTCCCAATATCCCATCTAACCCTGGCCTGTGTCAGTGGGAAGCTATTCCCCCTTGTCCTGTCCCTCCAGACCCTTCTGCAAACTCCCCCTCGAGCTCTCTTGGAGCCCTTTTAGGCACTGGCAAGGCTGTAAAACATATAACAATGTAAATTGTTATAAGGCTGTAAATTGTAAAGGTTATAAATATATATTTATATAATACTGTAGAATATTTATATAATACTGTGAAATTGTAAAGGCTGTAAATATATTACAATGTTAAATCCTGGAAGCTTCTATTACCAGGGAAAGAAAAACTGGAGGGGGAAGGATAAAGAACAAGAGAGGGAGGGAGGCGAAGTGCTACAAGCTGTGGGAGGAAAAAAGCAGCAAGGCAGGTAAGGTCTGAGGTGTGCCCAGAGCTCTGCCTCCTACACTGGGTCTGTCAGGAGTTACATAAGGACCAGAGGGAAAACTGGATGCCTTGAATTCTTTAAAGCCCTTGAAAGAGAGTAAAAGGAAAGGGAGAGCAAGGGGGCACCCAGCAGAATTTCCAGGTCTCTGATAACCACCTCGTTCACGAAGAAAGAAACCCAATGACATTTTTTATACATCTAAGCATCATGAAAAAAAACAAATTTAAAGCAGAAACTGTGCTGGTGCAACTCCTCCTTCACCTGGCAGCCTTTGAGGAGAACACAGGGAATTTCTACAAAGGCATCTGGGGCTCAGGGCTGGTGCTCCAAGGGCTGGTCCCCCCCAATGCCACCTCCCCACGTCAGTGCTGTTCTGTGCATGGAGTGTCACCTCTGAAACAGCCCTGTGTAAAATCCTGAGCTCTGAGTCCCTGGGATAATGGGAACAGCAGAGGTGGCAGGAGGAACAGCAGCTTCATTCCACGTAATGGACTCAAGTGCACAGGTTAACCACGAGATGCAAACAAAGAGCCGAGCAGGAGATGGGTGTTAATCTAAGCAGACAGCTCTGTAATTAGTCACACTGACTGAAAGCCAGTCCAATGGACCTTGCAGTATGGATTTATGTTTACAAAATGATTCCTCTACGCCCAGAATGTCAAAAACAAATGGTCTGCCTTTCCCTTGACTTTGATTTTCCTTGCACACACACAGCTTGGTTCCATTCACCTGCGAGCCCCACACAGCCACCCTGGGGCTGGGCCGGGTCCTGCAGCTCCAAGGGGGCCACACCAGATGCAAACCCGACTGCTAATGGCTTTATTTATTCTCTTTGATCTGCCAGGCTGGGACAGGGTTTCTTTCCAATCCCCTGTAAAAATCACTGCAGTGATTTCCAGCCCTCCACGGAAGGGGCAGTTCCACTCCCCACCAGCACCGCAGCAAAACCAGACCAATGGCAGCCCCAGGGCTGCTGCTCTGCTGGCCCACAGTCAGCTCCTGGGGCAGGGAATGACACCAGGGATGGGCATGGACTGACAGGGAATGAACCTGCACACTGGGACAGGGAAACACGTCAGGCTGAACAGCCCTGGGGATTCAGGGACCTGCTTCCCACCAGTGCCAACCCCACCTGCCCTGGCAATGTGCAGCCCACGAGTCTCCCCTCTTCCCACGAGGGACACAGAGGGACCCTGGCTGAAGAGGACACCCCAAGTCCCTGCTGATCTCTGAACTCTACTCTGACAAACGCTGCCTGTTCCCCGCAGGCACAGCAATCCAGCCCCCCCTGCCCCCTGAGAGCCTCCCTGGGCTCTGCACGGGCTCCTGCACACCCCAAACCAGGTGAGCCCAACGGCAGAGCTGAGCTTTTAATGCTTCAGCACAAACCAGAACCAGCTCATTAGAAAGAAGTTCCCTCAGAGCAGGTACCCCCTGACCAGGGCTGATGTCACCAACATGAAAGCAGCCCACCATGACCAGCCTCCACAGCGAGTTTGCATTTCCAAAACCTACCCAAATCCCTGTGTTTTGCTCCTTATTACTTCTCATTATCTCTGTGCATTAAACATATTGCCTGGTGAGAGAGCAGGAGGCTCTACCTGTCCTAACACTCACTCTTATTTCCTGCACCTCCCTGTCCACCTCCACCTCTGCTCTCCTCATCCTCACTGCAGCAACCTCCCGCTGTCACTGTTACTTTGAGGCAGGTCCTGTGACATGGTGAACAGTTCTCCACCCCCAGCCTCTCCCGCTGGAAAAGACAACTATTCCCCAGCATTTCATCTCTCCAAGATTTATTTTCCTCCCTCTTTGATCACTCCTTAAGATCATCTTTCCAGTGATGCTCTCTGTAGGACAAAGACTTTCATCATGCAGTTTGGATATGAATAATCAGCCTCGAGGTATGCAATCCCCCATCTTAATTTCTCCCCTTTTCCTATCTTAAAACTAAACATTTCCAGGACACCAAGATTAATGAGTGGCTGTATGGAAAAGCAGCAAGGCTCAGCTTCCCTTCCAAACTGATGTCTTTGTTGACTAACCACAAACTGCCTCTTGCCAGCTTGAAAACTGGGCCAGAAATAAATGTGTCTCCTGGTACAGCCCTGTCTGGCCAAGGAGCAGCTGCCAGAGAACAAACACCTCGGCTGAGAGTACAAGCTGCATTTGGGGGGGCACTAAATGGGGACATTTGGTGTACAGTTAGCTTAGGAACTGCTTGTAAAATGGAACAAGGAGGAATGGAGAGCTTTTCCTCCAGTTCATGGGAAGTACGTGGTGTGATGCCTCTGTGTCAGTGAAGAGGCTGATCCAGAACAATCCCTCTGGCACCGTGTTTCTAAAGCTGCAAGAGAGGAAGAAAGCCCTGAGCATCAGCAGGTTTGGCTGCCCCACCCTGGAAGTGTCCAAGGCCAGGTTGGATGGGGTTTGGAGCAACCTGGACCAGTGGAAGGTGTTCCTGCCCATGGCAGGGGGTGGGACTGGATGGGCTTTAAGGTGCCTCCAACCCAAACCATTCCATGGTTCTGTGATCAGTGGATCAGCCCAGGGAATGCAGAGTACAGGACACAGTTAAACCATGCCTGAAAATGTCTACTTTTACAGACCAGATTTCTGCTTTGCTCCGAGTCTCCCCACGTGCCCAAAACCATCCTTTTTACTGCTCTGGCTGCCTCAGATATTGGCAGAGGTGTTACTGCAGAGCCAAAGCCCCATTTCCTCTTCCAAAGGACACAGAGCAGAGCAAACACTCCTTCAGTCACGACAAGTCTCTCACCCAGGTGGGCTCCCTGAGTTGCCCCTTGCTGGCTGTACAGCAGCAGTTTAGTGCCCATTAGGACATTAAATATGGGGTTAACCCGGGCCAGGCACAACAGCCACAGAGCTGTGAGGGTGGCTGGGGCTGATGGCATCTCTCCTTGGGGAGCAGGAGAGGGCTGGAGGATGGTGATTCCTCAGCAGGAATGAGAAAAGCCTGGCTTGCAGCAGGCAAATGGGAAGGTAATGGCATTCTGTGCGAGTCATGAATTTTAAACACTTCTCTAAGCTCTGCCATTTCCAGCTGGGTCTGAGCTCTTTGATGGAATAGGAATGAGGGAGGCCTTGGAGAGCTGCTCTCTTTGCTTTCCCAGGTCTCCTTCACCTCCTCCAGCTCCTCTCCAGATTCTTTTCCAGCTCTGCTGTACAGCCCTTGTGAGACAAGCACAAGCCATCAAGCAGACACAGGGTGCTCCAGTGGGAATGGGAAAATTCAAGTCCTAGCTCAAGGTGGAGAGAAATTTCCTAACATCCCTGTCATGCTTTATGAGATCCAATTTCATTAGTGACAATCAAAAGCGAATTAACTGATCAAGTTCCTAATGAACACATGATTTTAAACTGCCACAGGGGCTCAGGAATTACCATCCCAGAATCTTTCAACTCAGAAGAGCCAAATCACCATTAATTCTCCCAGAAAACACAGAGCAGAGAAAAATGTTTCTTCAGTCACACAGGTCTATCACCCAGGTGATCCCTCTCTTGAGTTACACCACTCTCTTTTCACTGATTTGTGAAAATATGGGCCCATTTACTGATTACAAAGGAAATACAGAGACTTCCTCCAGCATTTCCCTGTGGTGCTGCTTTCCCTGGAAAGAGGCCATTCCAAAAGCCAGGTTCTTCTGCCTGGTGCCTGTGCTGTCGTGCCAAAATGGCTTAGGTTGTCTGAAAAGCTACAGGTAGTTTAAAGCAAAGCTGTTGTGGCAGTCAGACACCACTGGGGAAGTTACCTGAAAAACAACTGGGGTGGAAGAGCTTCATGTAAACGTTCCAGTTTGTTCCATAAAAGAAATGCAAACAATCCACTACCCAAATCAGCCAGGCACTGCACAAACACAGGGACAACTCCCCTTCCTTCTGGGCCCCAGCACTGGGCTCTGCAGAGTTCTGCACATCACCCAGAGAGGGAAATGGGACAGACAGGGGCTGCTGAGTGGTGCTCATGATGCCAGAGCTGTTTATCCAGGAGAGACAATGGAGAGGGGATGGGAGGCAGCAGGATCAGCCATGGAACCTTCAGAGTTCTATGGAACACTCAGTCTTTTTGCTTTTAAGACACAATCTGGGACTTTTTAAGTCCTGTTTTAACTATATACATATAAACCTGCAGAGGAAACAAGCTGGGTCAGGTTTCCCTGGAGGAGTAACACAGCACAGGGGCTGTACAGAAACACAACCCACATGACAAATCCCCAGAGAAGCAGTTAGTGCTGAGGCTCAGCTGCTGCAGCCACGGGATGGGGAGTCCCTGCTTCACTGTCTAGCCAGTGAAACTGCAGTGGGTGTGGAATTCCTGTATACCCCAATTTTTGTGCTTAAATTCCTAACAGGACCATTGTCCATTGTAACGAAGCTCAGAGCTGGAGCCAAAAGCTCCCATTCCCAGTCCTCCTACCAGAGCAGGAGCCACCCAACCAAACACAAAAATTTCTAGTGTTGTGAGAAATTTTCTTGGAGTGAGATCAAGCAGGAGCCAGGATCCCAGCCTTCCACACAGTCAAGAGGTGACCCCAAGGGAAGGGCAGGAGAGGCTTTGCTCACCTATGAGGGAGTTGAGGGAGGAGTAGGAGCTGACTCGTCTCATCTTGTCGATGGTCTCAAAGGACAGGATGTACTCCTCGTTCTCGGGGCTGCCCAAGGTGCTGCTGGCACTGCTGCTCGTGCTCAGATTCCCAGGGGAAAATGCAACAGAGCTTCCAGCTGCCAAGAGAAAAGAACAGATGCTGGAACAAGGACTGGTGAGAGAACAATTTTTACCCAGACATAACAGCTCTTTCCTAAATCCTGCCACACTCAGGGAAGGTGTGGGCAAACCCACAACTCCCCTTTTTAATACTGAATGATTAAACACAGAATAAGCAAAAGACTGAGTTAAAAATCCACTTATGCTTGGAAGCTGGAAGACACCTTTTTGGTCCCCAAACACTCAGGAAAATCAATACTGATGACCAGAAAATTGAAACTAATTCTGAAGGAGGTTCTCACGGAAGCCCTCGGAGCTGGATAACTGGGGCTGAAGCGCCGGTTCCAGCCCTTGCTGTCCCGACGTGGTGTCTCCTGGCTGGCACAGTGGGGCCGGGGGGAAGGGAAGGGAACTGAAAGCATTCTGAAATCTCTTACACTCCTCATTCAGGCTGAGGTTCTGCAAGGACTTGTTGAGGTTCCTGGCCGTGGTGACGGCTCGGATGTTGCCGTAGGAGCTGACCGAGCGCAGCCGCGGTGTGCACGGCCCGTCCCGCACCGGCGTCAGGCTGCCCCCCTCTGCAGAGGCAAAACACACCAATTAGAGGTGTAATCACCAACAGTCAGAGTGTTCTGGTTATTTCCCAGCAAACATGTAACTAAAACACCACTAACATGAACAAAATTCCGTGGTTTTCTGTCAGGCTAAAAGGGAACGAGGTACGACGAAGGATCCCGCCCACCCAAACCCCCACCTGTGGCAGCTGGAGAAGGCAGAGGGTAATTCTTCTCCTCTTCTATGAACTGCAAAGCCACAGTGCAGAAATTGCTCTCGTACTGAACCACCAGGTGACTCAGGGCCACCACCAACTCCTGGGGAAAGAGCACAAGGAACACCTCATGGTTACACAGGCCAGAAACAAGGGACTGCAGGCAAACACAGACCAACGTGGTCATTATTTCTGCTATTATTAGCTGGCCACCCAGGCTAATAATTCTCCCTTAATTCACAGAGATGAGCTGCAGGGTCCAGACCTAATTCTTCACAAGCCTTTTCTATCTCAACTGGCTCCCACTACTCCACCACTCCTACCCAGCACTACCACTGCTGAGTAACCTGCTCTAGTGGAAGGTGTCCCTGCCCATGGTAGAGCTTGGAACAAGATGAGCTTTAAGGTCCCTTCCCACCCAAACCATTCCATGATTCTGTCACTGATTCTGCCCAGTGTTGTCAAACTGAAGCAGTATCACAGAAAGCACTGAGCAGCAACAGGAGCCAGAGCTGGCTTTGGCTGCTGTCTCTGTTCAGAGACTGATCTCCCAAGGAGAGATTTATGAATCTCACAGAGCATTCAGTGTGACACGCAGCTCTCTTTTGAATTAAACTGATTAAATGCTGGAACAAGACAACAGAAATGAATCCTTGCAATGCTGGTGACAAGTGCCAGGGTGTTGATGTTCCAGTTAAGTAAACACAAGCATTAGGACACCTCAGAACAGCCCTCAAGAACAATCCAGAATGTCAGAAACTATTTAATGTACTATTGATGTATGATGGTGCATCAGAAACTGTAACTCTCCCAAATCTGAAGAACTATTCTGAAGCTGCCTGTGATCCATCCTTGGGGTTCTAAAGGCAGGAAGATCTCACTGAACAGAGCTCTCACTCTCTCCACAGCATTCTGACTCCCTCTCCTCTTCCTCCCCTAGGACTGCCACCACTCCATGTTTTTAGCAACACAAAACTATTTAATTTAAAACCTGAGATCCTGTAATGTAAACTATTGCAATCAGACTGGTGATCAGCAGAAGAGCAGCCCAGCAAGAATTCTCAGTGTTTTGTGCACCTGAGAAGACTCTAGTGTAATTGCTCTACTTCCTTATCCCTGTCTCCACATTCTCTTTAAATTAAAAAAACCCTAGGATATAAAAATTCCCACAGCCTCCTGAGATGATCCCTCCTCTTCCAGACATTTAGTGGAACTCTTGATACAGTCAACCCACAGAAACACAGATCTGAACAACAACCTTGTCCACATGTGGACACTGACACAGCTGCACCTGCATCACTCCTGTCAGGGGCTCCTGACAGTGCAGAGTAAGGGAAGTGCTGCAATGTTTGTGCTGCCAAAGGGTACGTGGATGCAGCAGCACCCCTGGACACTGCTGGACAGACCCCTGAGCATGCAGCCTCTGGCCTCAGCACTGAGCTGATGTTGCTCATCACTTGTGCTGACACCTCTCTGCAGAAGCTGAAGGTGAAGACTCCATGAGCTGTGGTTGCTCCATCTCTGGAAGTGTCCAAGGCCAGGTTGGACGGGGCTTGGAGCAACCTGGGCTAGTGAAGGTGTCCCTGCCCATGGCAGGAGGTGGCACTGGATGGGCTTTAGGGTCCCTCCCAACCCAAGGCACTCTGGGCTTCGATGATGATTCCGTGATGGACCAGACCCTTCCAAGGCAGAGCAGCTCCCTGGGAAGACTGTGGAAGGCAGCCCCCCCTGCCAGCCCGGGGCAGGGCTCCCCCCGTACCTTGCGCACCATGGGGCTGCCGTCGTTGATGAGCTGGGCCAGCATCATGGCCACGTTGTGGTCGATGGTGGTGGAGTGGTCCGTGCGCTCCGCAGAGTTCCCCACGAACGTCCCCAGGGCGAAGACGGCGGCACAGCGAACCTGGGCACACAGACAGCCTCAGCCACTGCCTCCTCTGCCAGGGGACCCACTGCACCCCTCTGGGAACCTGCACTGCTGTGTCAGGGGAACAGCGAGGGGTAAGGGAAGCCCACGGGGAGTAACGACCCGGGCAGCCTCAGCAAAGCACTGAGCTTTAAGTATTCACAGACACGGGATATATTTAATTTCCCAGAATACTTGGTGACCTTCCCATGGGTGATTCTTCCAGTTGCGTTGCCTTGAATATTAATGAACAGCAATAAGGTAAACACAGAGTTCCTGTTGGGATGTGAATCTATAACAGGAGTGCGGACTACAGTCTTCAAATATGGGCTTCTAGAAATGTAGAAGTTGAGGGAAAAAAGGAAAAAAATCAAGAAAAAACTTTGGACAGCCCACCCCACCTCTGCAGAAACACTGTTCACAATGTGGGGAGATTGGGGCCAGAGACAGGAGGTGGAGGATGCAGGACAGAGGCTGAATGGGGAGGGGATTCTCATCTTTAATCTCTGCATGTTATTAGAGGTGTTTAGCTCAGCTCCCTTCTCCCATGTGTGCTGTCACCTCCCCGGGCTCTGAGGGGCTCTGTCAGTCACTGCCAGGCTCAGCACAGTCCCTTCTCTTGGGGAGTGTGTCACAAAGGTAAAACACATCCAACTGAAGGTGGATTTTCACACATGGCAGTGGGAGAACAGTTTTCACACTTGGACAAAAAGACTAAAGGTTTTTTTGCAACACAGGGTCAGTTTTGGGACCACATTTCTAACAATCTGATTTTAATAATGTGATATGCAAGGAAGCAAAAAACGTGGCGTTTCCCAACTCCAGTGCCCAGATCCCAGGGTGCTGGGGTTGTATGAACTTCCCCTGCATTTCTTTGGATGCTCCTCTTGCAGGGCTTGTTTGATCTGCACCACCATGAAGAAACAGCAACAAGATCTTTCGCTGAACCAGACACAAACATAAAGCTCTGGAAGGCCCTGGTTCATAGGAATTTCTGTCCTCTGCCAGAATTCCACCAATTCAACTGGCATTTACCAGGAAAGTTAGATTTTTACCTCTGGGATTGGATCCGAGAGGAGGCTGTAGAGCTTCTCGTGAGCGCTGTCTCTCACTCCACACCACCTGGCCGAGTCAAAGTTCTGCCAAATCCGGCCCAGACAAATGGCCACCCAGTGCCTGAGGAGCGGGTGGGGATCGTTCAGCTGCTCCAGGCAAATGGCAATCAGGTTCCCCTGAAGGCAGGCTTCCTGCAACACAGAGCAACGCCATTTACTGGGCATGACAGCCCCCCACCTCATCCCCACAAAACAAGACTAGTTCTGAAAGACACAGAAAATCAGGAGAAAATAATCATTCAGTGGTTTTATACTGATTTTGTAACAAAATCCCACTTGGCAGCAGCGTGAAGGGAAGGGCAGGCACAGGCTACTAGAGCTGGTTAAATCGTTGAGCATTAGAAATGTTTCCTGTAAGGCATACAGCCTGTTTTTCCCTCACTGGAAGTATTCCTAGCACCTGTGAGAGCCCCAGGGTTTATGGCTGATTCCACAGACCATTCCCAACCATTGGGTTCCCACTTGACAGGACCAGGCACTGTTTCCTTCCCAGTCTGCCAGTGGCTGCTGGAGGGGTGGCTGTGGAGTGACTCATGTCCTTATCCTCCACTGCCAGGTGCTTTGTCACACCCCCAGGCCAATTTTTTTTTTTTATCCGTGCAGAAATAACATAAAACAACCTTCTAGCTCAGTTTCCCAGTTCAGAGCTGGGCTGTAATGCAAGCCAGGACACCTCCATCGAAGTAAAGGCATAAGGCAGAGAGAGGCAGGAGAGACTGAAGGGAAAAGGCTGTTGGAACTCACCTGCCCAGTGTTGTAGTTGTTCACAATCACAGCCAGGATAAATGCTGTCATTGTCCTGTGTTCAGCCTGAAAACAACCCACAACTGAGGGTTACCTGGAGAACAGTGCAGGGAACAGCTACACCCCATCCTGAGACGTGGCACTGTTCTAAGTTTGTGCCACATGCAGTTTGTGTCACATTAAAATAATGAGAGAGAAGAAAGAAAGCTGGAATTTTCTTGGCAACAGCCTGTCACACCTGAGACACTTCCCCAGCCTGCCCACACGATCCCCCCAGCCAGCCTGGCACCCTGCTCTGGGGAGGGCTCCCCAGCACCCACTACAGGAACCCAAACAACTGCTGCTGAGGGAACTGCCAAAGCTATGGGGCAATTCCCTGTCTCTGCAGCCTCCTGGAGCCCCCAGTTCCCACAGAGTAATCTCCTTATAGAACTTTGTCTGTAAATCCTTGTTTGGTTTGGCTGCCTCTGTCACACTGGTGGGAGCATTGCTGACTCCCAGTACAGCCCTGGTATGGGGGGCAGCCCCACACCAGCACCAGAACAGAAGCTGAACAGAACAGATCAGCTAAAACAAGGTAAGCAAATGCTACAGGAGTCTGAATAAACATGACTTGTCCTTACTGGCATATAAGGATCTGCGAGAACCGAAAGGAAATACTTGTGTCCATTGTCCTTCACCAGGTCAGCCTGGCACGACTGAAAAAGAGACCAAGAAAACCTCAATGAGAACTACAACACACATGAATTCGCTCCTCCAGTGATGTATAAACGTTTCATGTCTCAATCATTTTTCTCAAATCTTGTTTTCATTTGAGAAGCAAATTAAAGCTCAAACGCTTCCTGGGGCTGCAACCAAACACCCTGTGGGAATGGGCTGACAGGGAGGAGCAGGGAACCCTCTGCTACCCCCAAAGGGACACAAACAGCAGCTGGAAATGTGACCTCCTGCTTGGGGAAGAGTTAAATGGGATATCTGTGCCCCACATTAAACCTCCACAGTATTTATCCTACTACACACAACCTAAACTGCAGAGCAGCTCCAATGCCTTTCCAAGCCCCCCAGGAGACAGGGCAGGTTTCCTGGCTGGGGTAAGCACATGGGTTTGCTGACACACCACCTCAGGCTCCAGGCTGATGTAATGGGGTCACACCAAAAGGATACACAGCACCAAAGTGGAAATGTAAGGGAGGAAACACTGACTTGGCAATGAACCTCCCCTGGGTGCTCCGGGCCAGAGACAGGATCCTGCATCTTTTATCAGGAGGAGAAGGTGAAGGAGGGAACTGGCTGCTGAAAGGGGAGGGGATGGCAAGGCAGAGATGCAAGAGAATAGTTTATTGCTGAGGGGAGTGAAGCTGCTGGTTTTGGCAGAGCAAAGAGCAGAGGGCCTGGACTGCTGCCAAGCTGCAGCTACAAGAGGCTTTCCTGGCTCCTGTGTCACTGCACACACCAGGCTTCCTCTGCCCCTTTTCTTCCTCAGTGTCATTACTTTCTGTTCCTTCCACAAAACAATCTCTTGGCTTTAATGTAGGCACACAGAGGGGAGGCTGCCCAGCTTCACACTCATTGACTGTGCTGCCTCTCCAACCCAAATTCCTAAGGCTCAAGGGAGGGAAAGGATGGCTCTAAAACCAGAACACTCACTAGACCCCTCCCTGCTCAGATCCTGTGAACAATCTGGAATCCAGCACCACTGACACCTCCTCCTCCTCACAGAGTAAGCAGCTGTGAATAATACAACGTGACCAAAACAGGCTGCAGGCTCGGTGTGGACGTTCAGAACTCACAGGAGATACTCTGTTTGCAAGAAACAGGAGCTGCTGCCTGTCCCCTCCCTCGGCAGAGCCCATGGCCCTTCCCTGGGGAACCTGCCCCCTCCTCCCTTCCCACTCCCACCATGTGTTGGTGGAGTCAGTGAGTGAAACTGTGGAAAAAAACCCCAAATACACCATTTAAGAGTATTTTTTCTGTCTTGCTGTAAAGCAAAGCCTGCAAATGAGCGAGGCAACAACAGAGCATGGGAGGGAGCGTGTGAGGGGGCAGGAGGGAAGACAGCCCTCTTGGAGGGGAGGACAATGGGACACCAGGTGGGAATCACACCTTAGCCTCCCAACACGAACCTGGGGCTGAGGCCCCAGCCTCAGGTGCCTCAGAAATGAGCTTTTCAAGACTAGCTCTAAGATGAATAGTTTTCATTTTCTTTGCTTTCCAAAATCCTCTTAGGATGTTAATGAAAATATAGTTATAAAACTAAACCTGACAATGCTGGATCAACAGAGGGGAAAACTTCAACCAATTCAGTGCTGTTCTCCATACTGAAATGGAGGAGATATGCAAAAATAACCCCCAAATAGGAAAGATCCAGCATCCACAAGCAGTTCAGACATTCTATATGGGCTTATAATTGTGCCTGAATAAATGTGTGCACTTCTCCTAATAATTTTATTGTGCTCAACTAATTGCACCCACAAACCATAGAGCCGTATAGACAATTATATAAATTTATCTGCAGTTACTTACTACTTAATTATTTATCTCAAACCCCACCAACTAGAGCTCTGTCTGAGGCCATCTTCAAAAAAAAAGGCACATTGCTGAAACCCCGAAGAACCAGGAGGACTTACACTGTCCACTGCCAGGATTTTGGCCCAGATGAAGACAAGGAGTGGTCGCAGTTCACGGGCTGAGCTCTGAAGTAGCTTCAGCACATAGGGGAAAATGCCAACAGAGAGGGCCTGGGAGGCAGAGAGAAGAGCAAACCCCCATGAGCAACACCCCTGTGAACAAACCCCCTGTGAACAAACCCCCATGAACAAACCCCCCGAGGCAGCTCAGCCCCAAGGGCCGATCACAGCGTGCTGCCAGGACACAGCATCTTTAATGACACAGCTGAGAAACTTGGCAGAAAACACTTTCCCACATTCCTAGTAAAGAGGGGATCCCTGTGTGTTTGTTGCTCATTTTAATCTTGAATGTCACCAGATATTTCCAGACTCATTTGGTCCACGGAGACTCCGAGCTAATCCAGCACCAGCTTTCCCTCCTTCCAGCCTGGGCTATTTTATACTTCACAATCTGCTCCCTCCCCTCAGCTGGGGCTGTTTGCTCTCTCCAAACACTGCAACAGCTCAGCAGTTCCAGCCTTCCCACTGCAAATTAACAGGGCTCTCCTTACACAGACTTTTAGCAAGCCTTTCCCATGGGATCAGAGAGCACTCCCAGGAGGGCAGGGAACACAGGAAATCCTTGAGGATCCCACTGTGAGGGCTGACAGCCTTCCCAAAGCTCAGTGTAGAGGGAATGTGTGGTGGGGTTCAGGGTGAGCAGCCCCCCAACCTGGGGCAGCTGGGCATGGTCCTGACACGGCCAGTGAGGGTGTAATACACGTCCCAGCCAGAGCAAAGGGCCCTATGCTGACCTCAGCTATGTCCTGATCCTCACAGAATTGGACAATCCAGAGGTTTTAACACCCCCTTTAACACACACTTTCTTCCCAAGCTGCCTGTGCCTCCAGCCTCCCTCTGCAGAAGGGACTCCTGGCTGAGATGGAGGAGGGAGGTAAAGAAAACCACTAAAAAGTCCCATCATTGAGCTGCTCCACAACCAGCTGGTGCTTCATTTTCACTTTTATCAACCAACAGCTCCATTTACAGGACTGTTTTAAACTGCTCCTCTGTTAAATTCTTATTTATGCTCCACACTGTGCTGCCACTTCCCAAACTGCAGAATGCAGCTGCTGCCTGCTCAGAAGAGCTTGTAAAATCCAAACAGATAAAGAAAGATAAGAAAGTGATGCAGACAGTAAGCTGAGAAAACAGAAAAAAAATGTGTATGCTTTTTTGGGCTATTTATTTTACATGACAAACCTTACTCGTCCCAGTTATTTCCTCCTGGTTTGCCCCTTACACTATTTTACACTAAACTATTCCCAAGGAACTCCACTGTAATGGAAATGAGCATGGAAATGGATTTGATTAATAAAACCATTGTTCTTGTCGGGATACTTGCTGCATTTCCCACACATGAACACACAAAACTGCTCATTTGTCAAATATGTGGATTATCCTCCACACATTCCTTCCCTAAATCACCATCTGTATTTATCACCCATACTGAGACAAAGCAGAATTTCCAAGCCCACGTGCAGCACCCACGCACCAAACTGACAGCCCAGGGACCCAGGTCCAGGAACCTTCCCAGCAGATCCAGAGCTCGCAGTCGGTGTACCTGGCTCAGCAGCACCTGCAGAGGAGAGGGAAGAGGGATATTGTACAGGGAGCAGCAATCCCTGTGCCTGCAGAGCACGGGGAAGGGACCTTGGGATCGTTACAGCACCTGGAACAGCACGGCCTGAATGAGAGGCTGAGGGACAAACCCTGGCTGTGAGAGCCTGGCCAGCGAGGGGTCACACCCCAGGAACGCTCCTGGGGAGCTGCTCCCGACACAGGGGGAAGCAATTCCTGTGGATTTGCCTTGCCCAGCAGAGCAGGAACGTGATGGCACCTGCAGCGGGATCCGAAGGGAAGCGACAGCCCAGCCTCCCACTCTCCAAACAGCTCAGGAGCACAAGGAGAGGCTTTGCTTTCCTTGGCAAATCAATATCTGAGACTTAAGAGGGAGCAAAAGGTCACATTAGTCGTTAATAAAAATCTCATTAAAACAGAGTCTGACAACGCTAATGAGGTAGTGGTTTACTGGCTTATACCTACCCTGGTGTGAAATATTAACAGATAGACTTGCAGTTCTTAATCTCCTTAACAGATGTAAGATATTGGAATGCAACATTTAATCCTTGGTTTAAATTGAGCAACATCCCTCAGATGGATCTCAGGGAAAGAGGTTCCTTGATTTACCTCCCCAATTCCATCCCCTTCTCAGTGTTTTTCCACGTTGCATATTGAAATTAAATTATTTTTCATGTTTAACATTGAAGAATAACTAAATTACTTGGCTCATGTCTCACATTGTGGGTGACTGGTACTGGATACTGAAGTAGTGCAGGAAAAGTCCAGAAGAAACAGGAGGATGTGATAATAACGTTTCACTCTGAGTAGCTGAGCTCGGATCTCAGGACAGGTCATAAGAGAAAGGATTTTGGTCATCCTGCCCTAGTTGGCACCTATTCTATAAACCAGCCCAGGAATAACAGGGGCAGCTGTTTGTGATTAAAGCAGTACCAGAAACCAGGGCAGGTGGAGGCTGAGGCAGGGCTGGGACAGCAGCAGGACCTGGCAGGGGCAGGGTGCTCAGATCCCACATGGCTGGGATCCTCTGACCTGCAGAAAAGCCAAGGAAATCCCCAAATTCTGTCATAGCTGGGCAAAGAAATTAATCTAATTGAAAAGGCTTTCCAGGTGAAGATACAAATCTCAGCTCCACACTGCTGGCATCCCACAAGAACATTCCACCAAAGCACACCATGTCTGCTTTGAAAAGCTCTGTTCCATTACTGTCCAACCCAAACAAAGGCCTCCATCTCCCAGGATTTCCCATTCCCACTTCCCCAGCTGATCCACACAATAGCCTGAACTGCCATGGGCAGGGACACCTCCCACTAGCCCAGGTTGCTCCAAGCCCCATCCAACCTGGCCTTGGACACTTCCAGGGATCCAGGGGCCAGCCACAGCTTCTCTGGGCAACCTGTGCCAGGGCCTCCCCAGCCTCAATCTAAACTGGGAACACAGAATCAGCCTTTGTGGGGTGACAGCAGCAGGGTCTGAGCACTCCCATGGGTCAAAGCAAAGAGACACCAAAAAGGGTCTGAAACCATCCCTTCCCACCCTGCCTCAGCTGCTCTCTAAGCATCTCAGACCTGTTAACAACCCATCTGAGTCCACTGTACAATTAATATTCTATAACTGTAACAATAATTACGCTGTCCCAGCTTGTTTTTGCTCCAGGCAGGAAAGCAGGTTCCTTTGCCAGGTGACCTCCCAGTTTCACTGCAGAGTTTTGCTGCCTGCAGAGCCCGCTGGTGCCAAACAATCCATTGGAAAGCAGCAAAGTTGGAGCTGGAGCAGAAGCCTGCCTGCTCCCATCACAGTGACAGAGACAAACCACACTTCTCCACATCTACATCATCTCTCAAGGCTTGGGAGGCTCAGGAAATTAAAGTTTGGTCTTGCAGAGATGGATGGTGCTGTCAGTCACAGATCCAGCTGGCAGCTGACAGGGAAGGAGAGTCTCCCCACAGACCCTTTTAGAAGGGACTGGGACCACAGTCCTTTAATCAGAAAGGTTTTTAATTCTGCTATTGGTAGAGCAGAGCCCACAGGCACCTGGGCCAGGGTTTGTATTTCTGTCAGTGCAAACTGCAGGGGAGGAGAGGCCAGAGCAGGTGACAGATGACAACTGCAATGTGGGCCTTGCCATAAAACATCACCTGAGACGCCCTGTTCTGTTTCTCCTGGATTTACTTCTCCTTTAAACATAGGAACTTTGTTTTGTCTGAGCAAAGCCTACCAGAACTCTACATTCCTCCAGGCACAGTCTTCAGAGACTTGTTTCTATGTTCTTGCAGCAAAATTTCAGCCCCACATTAAAGGGAACACTTCCCAGGCTGTACCAGATGGATAAAGGAGCCATTTCCACACTGTTTATGCTGCAGTAACTTCCACTCTCTGAAAAGAGGGGGAAGATAAAAGTCTCTGCCTGATAGAGCTGGGATACAGAGGAGAGATGCCATAGGAGAGACAACAAAGATGTGCTGCTCAGAGAATCAGTGACTCCGGGGAGGCAGCAGAGCTGACACCACTGCACATGGACTGGAGTGGGAGCTTGGCCCAAGGGAGCCAAGGGATGGGGCTGGAAAAGCACTTGGGCTTCATCTGCACGGGTCTAGTGGACATGCAACCAGCTCTAATTCATCCTGGAGAAGCCCACAGAATTTTTGTTCCCCAAGGCCATGGGGTTGGCAGCCCTGTGCTGAGCAGGCAGGGGAGGCACGGACATGTGGCATGGACAGGGAGAGGCAGGGTCCCCTGGCCAGGCAGGGCCCCCAGGCAGGAGAGGCAGGGTCCCCAGGCCCAGGCAGGGCCCCAGGCCAGCGCTCACCTGCAGGACGATGGGCAGCTGCTCCGGGGGGTTGCGGTTCTCCACGCCCATGGTCAGCCACACCTGGAACGCCGTGAGCTGCTCCGCGAAGAAGGGGCTGTGCTGCGGGGGCAAGAACAGCAGTGCAGGGCTGGGGTAAAAAACCAGGAGCGAAGCAAATAGTTTTGGCACCTCTGGACTTCACTGTTTTCCAAAAAGCACTCTTTGTAACTGACGTGTCTGTTTGGCAGCTTTTAAATGTACACGAGTTTTCCAATGTAATTCCCTTTAAATATGCTGGCATTCCTTTATGTGAGTGTTTGGAAGCAAGGAGAAGGAAAGAGTAGAGAAAGAGGAAAAGTTATCACAAGAGGTCTTGGGGTGGTGAACAGGCTGCCATGCCATCAGTGACTCCAGCCCTTTCCTCCTCCCTGGCAGGGCCAGCCAACCTCTGCTGAACCACAACACTTGGCACCAGGCAGAAATCCAGAGGGTTGAGCACAAAGCATTGATTAGAACACAGGGAATAGATCAGAGGGGTGCAAGTGTCTGCCTGCTCCAGCCCCTGTCAGGGGTGAGNCCCAGTCCAGAGACACAATCCAACAGCAATGAAAATAAACTCCTCGTGCCATCCATCTCCCTGAGTATGTGGTACCAGCTCTGGGTGAGAACTACTGACCAGAGCACGCAGCGGCTTCCAGGGAGGAATCCACAAGGAAGCAGAAATCAATGGGGAAAAAAGGAGTGAAGAGGTGGAGGAGGGGGAGCAAACCAACCCAAAGACACCCCCTGAAGGAGCAGCACGACCCCCTAGGCCCTTCTCCATCAGGTTATTGTATTTTCCAGGTCTGACCAGGCAAGAACACTTCGGGAATAGGCAGGAGTCAGACACACATGGTTTGTGATGAGCTGCTGAGACAGAACAGCCTCAGGAGGCTGTCAGTGGATTTATCCAGGTCAGGCTGGACTCTCAGCCCCCAGCAGTGAGGGAATGGAGGGGAAGCAGCAACCCTGTGCCTCCCCTGGCCCAGACATCCATCCCAGCTGTGCCATGGGGTGGTGAACAGGCTGCCATGCCCTCAGTGACTCCAGCCCTTTCCTCCTCCCTGGCCAGGGCCAGCCAACCTCTGCTGAACCACAACACTTGGCACCAGGCAGAAATCCAGAGGGTTGAGCACAAAGCATTGATTAGAACACAGGGAATAGATCAGAGGGGTGCAAGTGTCTGCCTGCTCCAGCCCCTGTCAGGGGTGAGCCCTCCACTCCCTCCCAAACCACAGCCAGGATTCCTACGGCTGTGAGTGTCACAGGGAGTCGTCCCCAGGTGATGTCTGTCCCTCTCTGCAGAGCAGGCACAAACCCCACGGTGTTACTGACCCTGGACTGGAAATGGAAGCAGAAGGAATGGCTCTGAAGAGCCCTGAGCCTGCCTTTATGTCCAGTGCCTGGCTTGGCTTGGAATCTGGCCCCAACTGCACACTGATGGCTCAGCCCACCTCAGTTCCAGCCAAAATCCACAATAAACTACACTTGTCAGGCTGGAAAAGCTGCTTGTAAATTGTTCTCACCCTGCCCTGATCAATCACCACCTGAGAACGACCACTCATTTACTGATCTTGTGTCTGATCCCCAGCAAGTCTGTGCCTCCTCTCACCCCAAAATACTCAGAAATCTGCTGAATTTCAGCTCATTTGACAGAGAATATCCAGGTGAGGTTTAGCACTAATATAAAAGCCCCCACTGACATTGTTAGAGACCTGAAATAAAAATGAACATGAGCCAGGGGAAGAAAAATCATATTTTTTACATTTTAAAACACAGCACATACAGTGAGGAAAGCAAGGGGTGGGAGGATAAAGGCCTCAGGGCATCCTGATCAACTCCCAGCCTGGCAGGAGCCCACAGTTCTCCTCCTGCACTCGAGGCTATGGAGACAACCTGCAATTACAGCCAGAAAAACTTAGGAAGTTTGGTAACCCAACCAAAATGCAAGAATGTTACTGAAAATTAGAAAGGCAACAGGGTGGAACAGCTACCTGAGATTGTACAATCATTATTGTTTGAAGGTTTCAGTTCATGAAATGTCAAAGGAATACCAAGAAAACCCATTCTGAACAGAGGAATTTAAGACAAATATAATATTAAAAATTTTACTTTTCTGCTCTCTCAGTCAAATAAAGCAAAAAAACCCCAGTGACTCCTATCAATGACACTGAGCTTAGGAGAACTCTCTGAACATACCCTCGACCTCTATTTCATGTTTATTTGAAAGGAACTCTACTAAGAGATAATTTTCACACTTAAGCCTTTCAGATAAAAAATTGTGCTGCACGTTGGGACTCCCTTCTAAAGGTATAAACCCTTAAACTGCCACAATTCAAGGCCCAACAAGCAGAAGGGACGAGGTGTTGGATGGGGGTTAAACTGGGCCCACAACACCCCAGGACACTCCCCAACTTACCCTGAAGGCAGTTCCCTCCTCGATAATTGTGGGTAACTGGGAAAGGCAAATGTCAACAGCCAGGTCCCAGGCTTGCCTGGAGGAGAGGGTGAGAGAGGGAAGAGAAGGAATTACAAGTTATCCGTAAGGAATAGCAAGGGAAATTTAAATTCTGATCATACATCAATGTGGACAAAGCAGTGTTGTCTGACTGGCTTAGATGTGCTTGGTATTTTTCAAAAAGCAGGGATAACGTGGACACAATTCAGAAAAGCAGTGAGAAGGTCTAGTCCAGCACTGGATGAGTTCACAGAGGTTCACAGAAATCGATGCTCTCTGCACTGGAGAAAGGAGCCAGAGTCAGCTGCAGCCTTATTACACACCTGTCCTCATCCAAACCCGGATGACACTTCTTTTTTAAACCAAAAAATGAACTTAATCCTGGATTAGCTCCAATCCAGGATTAAGTTCACACCTCCATGTGCACCCCAGCCCTCGCCTGTCCTGCATTCCAGCCACAAACAGCAGCTCAGGAAGCTCCATCCCTGCTGAGCAGCCCCTCAGCTCCCAGCTCATGGATACACCCCCACACTCGTGCTCCTTCTGCACCTCCTGGGCACAGACACTGTCCCTGTGTGTCCCTGCAGCCCTGGGAAGGGAACTCAGCTCTGCATGAGTCACCCCAAGGATGGAGGGATGGACACCACACCAGAAAAAGAGAAAATACTTAAATAGTTCAGTTTTTACTCTTATCTACTGTACCACTGGTGGCTGAAGTCTGGAATCACCAACTCACAGAATGCCTTGGGTTGGGAGGGACCTTAAAGCCCACCCCATTCCACCCCCTGCCATGGGCAGGGACACCTTCCACGAGACCAGGGTGCCTCAAGCCCTGTCCAACCTGGCCTTGGACACTTCCAGGGATGGGGTACCCCAGCTCTGGGCAGCTGTGACTTAGGACATTTCAGTGGAACAGCTACAACAGCAGGTGAGTTACAAGTGGTGGCCCAGGAACCTTTTGTGGCTGATCCAGTGCAAAGCAAAGGTGCCAACAGGCTGCTTCACCATGCTCACAGACTGACATAAATGCATTTGGGCTCCAAAGTTCCTCAGACATCTCTAAAATAGTGAAACAGCTACTTTTCACCCCAGAAACTTATAGCCCTACTCTGCTCAGAGACGTTCCATGCACTTTTCATTCAGCATATGAATTTATGCACTCTGAAGGGCTAAGTTAAACCCCCACCCATGGGGTTTCTTCCACAAAAGAAAGATTTCCTCTCCAGACACGTTGGCTCTTCCGTGGCTCGTGGCATCCTGTGTTAACATCAATAGCCAAAGCCATTTTTCTTCTCCTCGGAACGTCTGCACACACGAGGCCGTGGGTGATAATCAATACTCTGTATTTTAGTCACCAGCTCTAATAACTTCTTAAATCACCCTGTTTTGAGTCAAACAAACCTTCCATCAGACCCACTGCCGAGCGATCTATCCCATCAGCACAACTGGGAGCTGTTCTCGACCAAAACCAATCTCTCCAATTAATGGAAAAATAAATTCTAAGGCTCTTGCATTTTTTTTTTCCATGGACTCAGGAGCTGCAGCTTGGTTTGGCAGCCCCAGACCTCGTCCCTCAGCTTCCCACACTCACCTTCCGCTTGACAACGTGCTGCCAATATAATTAAGAGCTAATCAAGAGCTAATCAAAGCATGGGCAGAAAATGCTTCCCATGAGCTCCATACAGACCCAGGCTGGAGACAAAACACTTACACAGAGCTCAGGACAGGTGTTTACTCCTGGTTGAGGCAAAGGCAACTAGTGCAAATATAAAGATACTTTTACATCAAGCAAAGGCATACTTTCTGAGTTTCTTGGAAGAATGGGCAAAACACCTAAAGAAATTCTCTGCAGCACTACAAAATGTCAATCCACAGGGCCTTTGAGACAAGTTTTACTACGCAGGAAGAAAATGGTTTAGAGATCAGAGACAACTGGTCTGATTTTGGCTGCCCATAAAAGGATTCTTTGCAGGTCATTACACTGCAGAGGCACAGCACTAAGATGTTGAGCTCCTCACAGTAATTTTAGGTAAGTAGCACTAATACTGCTACAAAAATGTCCAAAGCAACCCCACGAGATCAAATCTCAAAGGCTTTAAGTGTTATCAGAAAGAACAAACAAAAAAATTCTAAAAGAGATTTTGGTAGATTAAAACAAAATCTCTTTTTTACGCTTCTAAGAACGGGCTGTTAAAAGCCAGCAGAGACACTCGGCCGTGCCACTCAGACTTCTCAAACCTTCAGCAGGGCTGGCCAACGTCACTCAAACCTCCTCAACCTTCAACATGTAATCTTAGTGCTCCTGCTCACCACAGCTGAGAGCTGCTGACTGACATCAACTGAGGAGGAGACTCTGCTCCAATCAAACACTTCAAACGATTCTCCAGCCCTTCCAGATTTCCTTAACACGCCGCTTCTGTTCCCTCTGTGGGAAACACAAACCCTCCCACCCCAACAGGACACCAGCACACAGGTTTGCTCCTCTGTTTCCAACCACTGGAACAGCTACTCCTCCCTCAGCAGGCTCCAGGTTACACACAAGTTGCACGCAGGTACCTCACTGCACTGGCAGAACAGGCAGTGGCACTAAACAGGTGTTACAATAATTAAGATTCAAACCAAGCCATAAATGAATGGGAAAGGACTAAACCACAGGGGTGGGGAGAGAAAGGGATGGGAAAACACTCATTCCAGTGCCCGTGACAGTCAGGGCTGTGGTGGGGAGGAGGAGCAGTGACTGACAGCTGCAATGTGCCCGAGGGAGCTGGAGAGGTGGGCACACGGTAAATGTGCTGCCTGAACTCCCATCACAGCTCAGCTACAAACAGGAGATAAATTAGGGAGCAGCAGGGAACCAGGATGGGGTGTTGCATCCCACAAGTGATTTATGGAAGCCAACCCAGAGATCTCTGCATCCCCCTTTGCACAGATTGCTGTCTGGAAACGGCTCTGCAAGGTCTGTTTTCACTACATTTGGTACAAAAAGGGCTCAGTGATCCCTCAGCATCATTCTTTCCTCCCTCCTCACTGTGCTCTTCCAGTACTCCAGACCCTCCACTGTGATAAGGTGACACAGGGCCAAAATACCCCAGTGCTTCCACTACACTGGGCTATGAAAGAATGTGTTTATGAGGGGTTTTTATACTACCTTGTCCTAATTGCTCTGCAGGTACCAAAAGCTAAAATCTCCCCTTAGCTGGAAGATGGACTCAACTAAAAAAAACAAGCAAGGAAGTGACTTTGTTTATCCCAAAGAAGTAAAGCCAGGCAGCACATCAGCAGGAAGGGTCTGTGAAGGGAACTGATCCAGCAGCTCAACCAGGGACCCACGGTGGGAGACCAAGCCCCCTCCTGCCAGGGGATCCTGCAGCTCCCAGTCCAGGATCAGTACCAGTGAAAAGGCACTGCTCACCACTGCACAACAAACACCAGGGCCAGCACTCCCCCAGTCCCTCTCCCACGACAGACACACGTGTATTTGTCTCTATGTTTTAGTCCCAGGTTTTCTTGGCCCTTCAGCCCAAGTCCCTTTCCTTAAGCCCCTTAGATTTAGCTCTAGCTAGATCTATCTGGATCTCTCAATCCCTTCCCCCTCCCCAGTCAAATACCCTTCTCACTACAGCAGGACTGTTTAAATGTTCAATAATTTAACATGCACTCATCAGCTGCCTCTTTACTTTGTTTCCCAGAGGAGCTGCAAAGTTTGGGCTTTCAAGCAGAGAACAGAAGGCAGAGTCCCAGCCCTGCTCAGGGACTGGTTTATTGCCCAAACCCACGACTTGCTGGGCGATGGAAACCCCCAGAAACACTTGAACAGCAGAAATTCAGCCCCATGAGAGCTGCGTGTGTCTGTCTGCACCCACGGGCACCCTGAGCTGGCAGCTCGTGGAGGCACATTTTCTTACACGCACATTTTCTGGGCTGAGTCAATGTCTAATGCTTTTAACTCTCATGTCCCTTTTTCTTTTTATAATGTATTCTTGACATCTTTTAACACTCTCCTTTCCTCTGGGAGTCGTGTGTATCACACTGCACCGCACACAGGACCAGGGAAAAGGAGTGTTTGTGCCGGGGAGCAGCTGAAGGGAAGCCGAGGCCACGTGCAATCCTGGGGTCGGGCCCAGGGTACCTCCTTGTTCTGAATTGTATTTCTGGAACCCTTAAGTATTGCAGACTGTTCACATTTGTTCTTCCTGTCAGTACAACTGCAGGACACGTCCTGTTTGATTGAACATCCAGATCCCAGCCCGAGTTCACCTGCGTTGCAGTGACCCCGTGACCTTCCTAAGCTGCTTTAGGACACAGCTGGGGAGCTGCTCAGACACAGCTATTTTTAAAAAACAGTTATTGCTATGAATATTTGGCACAACTCTGAAATCCTTGCCTTCTCCCAGCACATCCCCCTGGCTCCAGACACAACTCAGAGCTCAGGCTTTGCTATTTTTGTGCTACGTTCCTCTCCATCAAACTCTCCGTAGTCCAATAATGGGACTCAGGGATGTTAAAACTAACACAAAGACACAAAAAAATGTGGTTACAGAGTAATCTGAATTAATCTAATCCTTCAAAGGTCAAACAGTTCCAAATACCCCTTCAAACAATCACCTTCTTCTTGCTGAGACACTGAATGTTTCAGTGCAGCTCAGTGAGCCTCATTTCCCCGAGGGATGGCTGAGCAGCCCTGCATCCATCCTGCACACTCCACAGTGCCCCAGGACTCCTCTCTCACCTGTAACTGGGTTGCTGCATTATGGTTTCCTTTTCTTTTGCTTTATTATGACTCCCTTTCAACCTGAATTTCACGGTCTGTGTACACACCATCAGAGTATTTCTATTAGGGATGAATTGCAGTTCTTCCAAAGCATAATTAAGGTACTTGGGGTCTAATATATGACCCGTGTTAGGAAATATTTCCAAAGACATTACTAGGTCTTTTCAAAGGCCATGAATAAAACCAGCTGGCAACAGCAGCAATGTATAAACCCTGATCCATCAGGGCAGAGATCAAGGTGCTGACAGAGCATCCGGGCTCTGTTCTTATGCACAACAGCCAGAAGGACTCACAGCTGAGCAGCACAGCCAGGCAATCAATAGATATTAATATTAACATTAATCCTGTGTTAGAGCAGTGCCTGCAGCAGCCAAGAACTTGCAGTGTGAGGCACCACACAAACACAACCAGCCCGTGCCCCAGGGGCTCACACCTGAGCAGGGAAAATTCAGAAGGCCAAGAGCAGGAAAAAACAGAACATGTCAGATCCCACCAAAGAGGGCATGGTCACAGAGATCAGCTCTCCTGATCCTGAAACATGGTGCCCTCTTGGTGAAAGAAAGACTTGTGGGTCTCTGAAAAAATGAAAGTTCTCACTTTTTCTCAACTGTTCGGGTAAAAAGGATAACGAGCAGGGGCAAGACTGATTTCCCAAATGAATTGATCAGAACAAAAACTTACTAGGTTAATATTTTAAAAAGCTGTTTTCAAGAGGACTAAACCCAAAGGCAGAGCAGCTTGTTCCTCCAGCAGCCTCAGTCCTCCTTATACCTGTGCCAGATCCCCAGATTAGGAGACACCCAAGTGTGACCTGGGGGAAATTATCTGACAGGCAGGGACATGGGTCAGTAAAGGAGAAAAAGAGCAAATGGTTGAGATTTAATGCCTAAAAAAGGGCAGTTGGAATTATTCAGGAGGTAAATTGATGCTCAAGTGTAAGGAATTTTTTGCAGCATTGCTCCCACCACTTGCAGATCTTGCTGTGGCAGCCAGGACTCGCTCCCCATAACACTGCCTGACATGCTGGGGGGCAAAAATGCAGGAAAAGTCTCCATAAAGCAGCAATCAGAAGCCCTTGCTGTACCATGCACCACACAATGACGTGCACATCGGTTCAACATGATCATCACATCACTCTGTTGGAAGTTTCCATCCTCTCCAGCACCCCTGTGCCCAACTCTCCTGCCCTCATCACATCACCCAGTTCATCCAAACAGCAAAATGGGTTTGGAGGTTTCAGATCAGTGATCCATCAGGAAATTCCTGAATGGAAGGTGACTATTTTTAGAAAACATTTAAGTGAGTCCTAAATTAGTTTCTAAATCTGTCCTTACTGAAAGTTCCTAATGACGCCCTGAGCCACCTCTGACGAACGTGGAATTTTCCCCTTTGCTGGATTTGCTTCAAACTGCACGTTTTTTAGAGGACACGGAACAAAGTGTGTCAATTCTCTGCTCCCTTGTTGTCTACTTCACCAGTGTTTGGGATTCACAAGGAAAAGAGTCCTGTGTGTGACTGTTCTTAAGGAATTTCTTCTGGTGAATCCTAAAAGCCAGCACCAATGCCACTATCCCATGGAAGCTCTGAGGGGCTGCACAAAGGTGTTTCCAGCTTCATCCTGCACCTTCACAAAGGAATTTCCAGCACCATCCTGCTCCAGGAGAACTACAATATGAACAAAGCAAATGTGTTTTAGACTCCATCGTGCTGCCACGCAGCTCTGGGAGAGAGACAGAACAGGATCCAGCTGTTCCCAGTTTCCTGCCTGGGGTTCAGCCCATGGATGGCAACACCAACTCTAGGTCAAGTCATAGTCCCATAGGAAGCCAGAAATATAGGCTTTTAACAGGTTGGTAATAAGAATGAATTATATTCCTACAAGGGACAGAAAATATAGGTTTTTAATATGCTGGTAACAAAGAAGAGATAAATAACTTCAGAAATTTACTGGCTTAATTTCAAAATTCCTGCAACACCACATTCTACTCTCCTGCAACTGAAAACTGCAGCTGATGGCTCGAGCTCTGCCATGTCCAGCAGCACCAGCAGCTCAAAGACACCACGGGAACTCGAGTGGCTTTTCCTGCTCTTCAGTTTTAAGTGTCCCAGTCCCTCGTGTGACACTGATAAAACAACTCACCCCAACTCACCCCATGTACAAATGACAAAAGCCATTTTCCTCGGGAGCTCCTGATCCAAAGCACTCAGGAACATTGTTTGCCACGTCCCAGCACGTGGAATGTTCAGCTGCCCAGGTGCTGACAACTCCAGCCAAAGGCTCCCCGACTGCCTCCAGGATTTCCATAATTAAAGCAGCTTTGTGGTACCAGCAAATGCCTCCTCAGTGGCTGCCTGCACTGCAAAGGCTCCTGGGGCTCCCTGCTGCCAGCCTGCCTCCATTCCCTACAGAAACCATGGAACCATGGAATGGGTTGAGTTGGAAGAGGCCTTAAAACTCACCTTGTTCCACCCCTGCCATGGGCAGGGACACCTTCCACTAGCCCAGGTTGCTCAGAGAATTTGAACTCCGTGTTACACTCATCCTCATCCCTTCATCCCTCCTCTACATTCATTTTCCTCCACATTTTTATGAAGGAAACTTATTAAAAGGATTCTGGAAAATGCAGGCAGGTTAAACCCCCTCAGTTACCTTTTCCTGTCACTTTATCAGCCTTTAGCAAGGCTCTGTTCTCTCCCCCAGGGACCCCATCAGCCTCACTGCACCAGTTTGTACTTTGCCCAGTTTGGTGCTGCTCTATTAATCACACTGAGTAAGAAAATAAAAGTGAGCATTTTTGTTATTACTGTTATTATTATTATTTTTATTATGATTGTTCACGGGACATTTGCTTGATCGTCAGAACTACATTTAAGAGCATTTTGATAACTGTGCCACCTCCATTTCCATTAATCATCTTAAAAGCAACAGTAAAAGTAGATGAACTCTGCAGCAAAAATTTCTTCTACTTCAGCAATGCAAGTTAAGGATCTTCCCCCAGGCCCTCGGCTCTTCCCACCCTGCACAATCCCAGGGGACCAGCTTTACTCTGGGAAAATAAAGGCAGCAGATGACCCATTTCTTTGGTATTTGGAGTGAAAGATGACATGGCTGGACTGAAGGTTCTGCACCACAGAATTACAGGATAATTAGGAATGCACAGAGCAGAAGCAGCTTTGGAGATGAGCATTAGGCTGCCACAAGCTGTTCCATTCCTGATCCACTGACTGAATCAGGGAAGCACTGCGGAGATTTCAGCAGAATCATGGAATGGGTTGGGTTGGAAGGGACCTTAAAGCTCATCCAATTCCACCCCCTGCCGTGGGCAGGGACACCTCCCACTAGCCCAGGCTGCTCCAAGCCCTGTCCAACCTGGCCTTGGACACTTCCAGGGATGGGGCAGCCACAGCTTCTCTGGGCAACCTGTGCCAGGGCCTCCCCACCCTCCCAGGGAGGAATTCCTTCCCAACCCCGAGCAGTGCCAATCCCTGGTGGCACAGCTGCCCAGTCTCTGTGTCACTCACCACATGGCGTGCATGTACGTGGGGGGGAGCCGGGGGCTGCTCACGGGGGTGCAGTTGTACGACCTCATGATCCTCTCTGCCAGGAGAAAGTTCCGGAACAAACTGGCCACGAGCAGGTCCTGCCGGAAGAGCTTCTGGAAAAGATCTGCCAAGAGAGTGCAGGAGTTACCAGATGCACATCTGCAGCACCTTAGGTACTGTGCAAAAATGGTTTGAAACACAAAGCCCTGTTAATATTTTGTTCCAGTGAGGAGGAATCTCCAGCAGTTTTGCAGCGAGTGACACACCCACTGTTAAACTCTGCCTGCAGAGCTCCCTCAAAGCACTGCAGCTCCTCTCCATTTCACACCAACACAATTAAACACTTTCTACCTCAGGTTCTTTTTTGCCTTTTCTGGATAAAATCCCCCTTTTTGCTTTTTCACTTCAGCTCAGCCTGACTAAGTTTTTGGAAAATTACTGAGGGAGAACAGGACCTCTGTGTACTGTTTAATCAAGAACTATCCATCTGTTAACTGGCAGTTTGATGCGCTTATGAGAAGCCAAAATGAATCCTAAAAGATAGCAAATGTGCTCTCTTCTACAGGACAGAGAAGAATTGATGCTGTGTGAGCACTAGGAAGAGCAGAGTTGGAGAACTGTTTACAAATTTGGCTGCCTGTGCTCCAGAAGTACCAATTCAGAACAGGGGTAGAGAATGGGATGAAGTTACTCATGGGAAACACAACTGCCTTACCAGCAAAGAGGAAAAAAACCCTTTATTTATGGTAAGCCCGGAAGAAAACAGATTGCTCTTTGCAAATACAGTAAGAAAGAGAATTATTCAAGCTAAAACAATTGTGCTGGCACAGAAAAACCCTTTCTGGGTTCTAACGATCAGGTTGCTGCAATGCTCTGGTAAAAGAAGAAATAAAAAATTAACCAGCTTTAAGATCAGGCCTGATCTGTTCTTCCAATATGAGGGTTTAATTTTCTCCTCATTTCAGTGTCTCACTTTTATCTGCTCTGCCTGAGCCTGCCCCTGCTGTGCCCCCCTGCTGCCCCTGCCCCTCGTACCCCTGGGCAGGACGTTCCAGGCAATGGTGTCTGTGATGGCTGTGAAGATCCAGTTCAGCTCTCCCAGGGGAGTCCTCCTGTCGTTCAGCCTTCCAGGAATCCTACAAGGGCAGGGAAAAAATCCACATCAGTTTCCTGGTAAAAACCGTGTTTCTGAGACAGACACACACCCCCCTCCAAACCCTTCTAAGGGGGATCTAGAGGTAAAGGAACTCTTTGCTGGAACGTTTTCATGTTACATGGAGACTCACCAAGTGGCAAATCCAGCCACAAGAGCCAAGCCCTGGTAGCAGCCAGGGCTCTGGGCACAGCTCTGTGTCACAGGCAGGGAGCAGTGGGCAGAGGAGACTCAGCCTCGCACTGCTGAGACTGAAACCAGAATGTTTTGCCAAGTATTCCCATTTTGGCACTCATTTAAAAAGTGTCAAAATAGGACATACAGAATATAGACGGTGCAGAAAAAGCTTTAAAAACTGAATCAGTGGCACAGAGTGAGAAATTTAAGGTCATCCTATGCACCCTACCGAGGAACAACGTGAACGTTGTGGATAAGCACCTACAAGAGGAAAAATCCTGGTGCCAACAAATACCTTACACAAGTAGAGGAAGAAAGAAAGAAAGAAAACAAGGAGAGCACTTGACCGTGAAAGGGAAACGATTCAACCCTCATCTCAGAGGGCTGAGACACAGACACCTCAGAGGAGCAGAGCTGTGTGACCCAGTGACACTGTGCAGCCTGAGACACGCAGAAGGTCAGAGAGGATGAACCAATGGTCTCCTCTGGCCTTCACATTTATTCTCCTCAGAGACAGCAGAGACAACAGCCTGGCCAAAGCACAGTCAGTGAAGAACAGCAATGTTCCACCAGCAGTCTTGCTCTTCCAGAGCCCAGGACTTTGTTTTTGCAGGCTGAAAAAAGTAATTCAAATTTTTTCATACCAGAGCTGAACAAATTTCTCATATGAGAAGAAACCAGAGGACCAACAGGCAAGCCGATTTCTGTGATGGAAGAGCCCAAGTGACAGCCTGCTGGGACTCAGGATCAACACACACACACATCTGGGAACACAAGTGGCTGTGAACTGCTGTTCGCTGTCCTGAGTTTCTGCCTTCATCCTGACCAGCTTTTCTAAATAAGCTTTTGAATGTTTATTTGCTCCTCGTAAAAACAAAGACAAGAAAAAATGAAGAAAAAACCCCAATCACCCAACAAACCGAGACCAGCAGACTCAGCCCTGGGCTGCCTTATCAATAATCAGATATACAGTATAAAATATACAGCCTGGTACTCCCAAGCACAGCTTTCCTCCTTGTGAGAAAGTAACAGGAACAGGATGAGAAAGTTTCACAAACATGCACCAACACAGTAAGACATTCTATGGATTTAATCCTAATTTAACTAAACTTCCCTTCTGTAACAAGTTTTTAAATATTTAAAGTATCAACACAAACAGAGGAAGTTTCTCTATGGCCACTCACCCCTGATGTGCAGCAGCACCATTCCCGTGCAGGGTCAGATGCAGCACATTCCCTTGGATAAATACAGTTCTAAACCAGCTAGAAATTAACATCTTATAAAAAATTCCTGTCTGTCTCAGTATCAGAGGAAAAAAATACATCTCTGCAGCAGTGTTTGCTAATGGATCCCCCGGAGCGAGCGCAGGGAACACGAGGCCACACAGTGCTCTGGTGAGGATTCCCCGTCAATATTTGCATTGCAGAACACCCTCTGCAGCAAAGCAGAGCTCCCCAAGCCACGGGGTGTCAGTTGGAAACCAAAGGGATCCTTGCTGAGCTTCCCCAAGAAGCCAAATGCTTGGCTTACACCACGTGGTGGCAACTTCCAAGGCAGTTCTCAGACATCAGGAGGAATTTCTTCACTGAAAGGGTGGTCAGGCCTTGGCAGGGGCTGCCCAGGGAGTCCCCACCCCTGGAGGTGTCCAAGGAACGCCTGGATGTGGCACTCAGGGCTCTGAGCTGGGGGACAAGGTGGGGATTGGGCACAGGTTGGACTCCATGAGCTCAAAGGTCTTTTCCAGTCTCAGTGATTCTGTGTGAAATCTCCTGAACTGGCAAGAGCTGCTTAGACGGGATCACCACAGCTACTGTGCTCAGAGACAACCCCTTCCCAGCACAGGATCACAGGGACGATCCAGGTGTGCTGTGCCTGGGCTGCTGAAACCTTGGCAAAGCACTGGAGAAAGACAAAGCGTTTGAGGTTCTCCCCTGCCTTGCTGGAGAGCTGCAAAGCCTCCCCGCCTGTGCAATCCTGGCAGCTCTGTGGGAGCATATGAAAGGAGTGTTGCCATGAAAACCATGCCTTTGAGCAGGATCTTCACTCTGCATTCACAACAGGCTCTGCCTGCACTACACAGACTCCAAAACAACGGTGATGAAACGAGACACTCCACTGCAATCAAACCTGATTGACTGCAGAAGAGAAACTTTGCAGAGTAACATCTTCAAAAGCAAAGTTCCTCCTCAGCGCAGGCACCACTGAGGGATGTCCCCACGGGCAGGGTGACACAGCAGCCCTGCTACACCAGGGCTAATGGCACTTCCTGACACACACTGAAACAAGCTGTGACGTCTTGCACTGAATTTTCTAGAAGAAAATCAAGGGGCTGAACCTAACCTAGGTCTGAAGGCAACCTAGGAATTATTGTCTTCCCACTAGAAATAAAATAATGAATATTTAAAAAAAGGCTGCAGTATTTCAGAGCTTGGACCAGCACATGGTTGATTAAATATCTGCAAAGACACCTCCCCAGTGTGTCTGTGGTGCCCCAGCCCAGCCATGGTCCTGTCACAGCACGGCTGTCACTCTGCCTGCCACCACCATCACTCACTTGCCCAAGAGCAACAGGATCATCCCTGTCCAGTCCTGCTGAAAATAACATCTCTGTTCCTTCCACCAAATGCCTTTCTCCACCTGGTTGTGAATCCTGGTGGGTTCTGCCAAGCCACAGACTGCCTGCTAAGTGGCCCCATTAGAAGCAGGATCAGCTCTCAGGGCTTTTTTTTTTTTTTTTCCCTTCTCAGGGAATTTTTGTTTAGAGAATTCCCTCCTTCTGCACCATAGACCCCAGCTAAAAAATCCCAGGAAAGCAATATACCATTCCTGATCCCCTGAGAACAGGATTTCAGGAGAGGTAGGCCAATGCAGCAATAGAGATTAAAGCACCCTTGTACATCCCCCATTCCTGGCACCCTGCTTTGTATTTCAATTACCAATGGATTCATAAACCATACTTTAGGGGTTTTTCCAAAATTTTTAAAGAGTAGAAGCCCAGTTCATGTCACTCAGCAGCCACACCCCCAGCACAGATGGTTTGAAGTCTTGGGATCAAACAGAAAAGTCCACCCAAGGCAGCAGGAACATGAACAGCAACGCTGCCAACCAAGAATCTCACGAAGCAGCAGCCAGAGGGTCCCAAATTCCCAGTCCTCCACCAACATAATTTTCCTTCTTTTTTCCTTTACACTTTGCTGCCTGGCTCCAGAAAAGATCTTTCTTTCTAAACCAGGGATTATTTTGGCTCCATCTCAGAAGATCAGTGATACAAAGGCACATCAGGATCCACCACACGTTCCTTCATCAGGACGTGGGCTGAGCCTGGATAATTAGAAACTGGAGCCCTTCAGAGAAGGTGCAGCTCAATTTAGCCTCAAAGTCTGCAGCTTAATTGCAATATAAACTCTTTCCCCAGTTCTAAAGACAACTAAATTATAAATTACAATATACACACAGGCAATCCAGGAATTATTCCAGGGCTATCTCGAGATGCAATAAAAATCTGTGTTTTCTATAATTGATATATGGAGAAGATTAAGATGATGAGGTTTAAATATTTGATATCCACGGGAACCTACTCCTGGCTTGTTTTCCCTGAAGACAGCCTGGAACACACACACACGTGTGCTGTGGCACCAACCAACACAGACCAAGAATATTGAAGAGAAGTCTATTTGTGCCAGTAAACTGCACCCTGGACATCCCTGTGTCACAAGAGTTCTAATGAACCCCAACAACAGTGTTTCTACAGTCAGGATTTCTCCGAATTGAATAATTATCTTTAATTAATCACTCCCAGTCTGTGTGTGTGTCAATGCTCCAAGAACAGGGCATTCAAAACAATCCTCAGGGAGCACAGGGCTCCTGCATCCAGTGGCTGCACACCCCTGCTGCCCTGTCTTTAAAAACAAACCAAAATGTCTTCAAAACCAGCAAAGACTACAGAGAACAATTATTATTAATATCTCAAAATCTCCCTTGCTTGCATAAACTGAAGCAGAGTTTGAAGAACAGTTGTCCTGGATAATCACTTTGCCTCAGCTGCCTGACAACCAGGAATTATGCTCCAATATCGCTTGGAAAAAAGGATTATAACGTGTTTCAGTGGTGCTAAATCTGAGATCCACCATCCCTGTCAGACAGAGAACAGGGGGACAGCACAGTGACAAGTGACAAATGATTTCTGGTTGTTTTGCTGTCCCTCAGTTGGGTTTGGGGACGTGGCTGCAGAGCTTAACCCTCCCATGGGCAAACCCTCCCCTACACCAGCCACACACTGGGCTCTCCAGGAACAATCCCAACCTGTGCCTGCAGTGGCCATTTCCTGCCTGGTCCAGGCTGGCAGCACATTCCAGAGCATGGAATGTGCCCAGCTGAGCCCGGAACAGCCGGATCTCCCCCCAGCAGCTCCCTATTTCCACGGCCACTGCTTGTTTCAGCACCACAATTACTGCAGGTGCAGACTCTGAACAGCTTCCCAAAGAAATTTCCTCACAGACAAACAAGAGAAATGCAAGAAATAATGAGGAACTAAGGAGCAACAGGGAAAAAAGAAAATATGTACAAAATTTGGCTTACTTCTCTATTAAATCCAGCGTGACTCCTGGCACCAGCCTGACACTCTTCTGCATGCAGAACCTGGGGAGAGAGTAAAATAAAACACACTAATTGACTGTTTAATGACAAGGTTCTGGGGAGAGAATGTGGAAGGAGGTTTCTTTATTGCACTGTTTCTGCTTTTAAAATGGTGTTTGGGTAGGGAACTTTGGCACGGCATAATGAGACCCAAACAAGGCCCTCAGTATTTGTCACACTCGTGATTATGCGGCGATTTCCATCGTCAGGTGTCAAAACTGGGGTATTGTAACTGTCACAGTGACAAGTTTTCCAACACAGAGCGGGGGAAAAGGGCTCCCAGGCATCCAGCACGGTCTCCCGGGAGCAGCACAACGACAGAGAGCTGGGGAGGATTATGCTGCTGGAATAATGATCAGCGTTGGCTGGGTTTCCCTGAAGAGATGTGGCACTGCAGGCAGGGAAGGGAGAAAGGGAGGGAACGGGAGGGATGTGTCAGGTTCAGACACCTCCGTTATTTAATTAAAAAAACTGCTGACTCCATTTCCTCAGCTTTACAAATCCCACTGCTCCAGGAACACCGGCCCAGGAAACGCAGAGTCCTGTCAGTACCACTCACTGTGCCTGGAAAATCCCAAAAGCTGCCGAACCCAAGCGTGTGTGGGAAGGAGAGATGGCTGCTGGCCCAGATTCCCAGCACCCTTCCCCTCCTGCAGACCTCCCTGGAGGTGCAGAGGGCAGAGTGGGAACAACAGCTCTGGGACAGAAATCCAGCAACTTCAACTCGAGAAATGACTTCCTCAGTGACAGCACCACATTCCCAGCCCATCAGCCCAGTCTTTCAGAAATCCACTCTCTGCTGTTCAAGGAAGAATCTTCCCCTCAGTGTAATCTCAGTTGACATTTACTCAACACTGCACTCATCACACAGTTCTGTGAGGGACCAGGAGGGCTCCATGGGCAGTCCCGGACCAGGAGGGCTCTCCTGCCCAGCAATCCCACCTCCTGCATCCAGCTGCTGCAGCAGGAGCCTCACCTCACCAGAGCCACATCACCCACATCCAAAAGGCTCTTCCCCAGGCAAAGGAGAGAACAATTACTTATTAAGGACAAGATGTGCAGAGCCCATTTCCGAAACCTTGAGGCCCCTCTGGTTTTTCTGTGGCATTCCCTGCCAGCAGGGCATCCCTTGCTGCCAAGGCAAGGATGGGGATAGGCTCTGGAAAGCTCAGTGGTCCCCAGGCTGCTTTCCTGATGTCTGCGTCATCCAGCACAGAAAGGAGCCATAAAGAACCCGAGAACCTGCAGTGGGATCCCTCTGCAATCTGCTGAAATATAAAATTCTTACGACAGTGCTTTACAGAACCAGGCGGGGAAATTCCCTCCTAAACACAGCCACAGGCAGAACTGGGTCACTGGGATCAGCCTGGAGCCTCCCTGCACACTGGGGGTGCTGGAAGACTTTAACTCCTCTCGGTGCCTCCACATCATGACGTGTCTGGAAGGACTGTGAGAGCAGCACAGCTCTGCCCTGTCACACACTGGCTGTCTCTAAAGAAGTGTGTCCCTGGAAGTGTCCAGGGGCAGCCGGGACAGGGCTGGGACCAACCTGGTCTAGTGGAAGGTGTCCCTGTCCGTGGTAGGGAGCTGGAATGAGATGGGCTTTAAGGTCCTTTCCAACCCAAACCATCCCACGATTCCATGTCTCTGTTGCAGCCAAAGCTCTCCCCACTGCCCTGGATATTTGGAAACAGAGTAGTCCATGAAACTCCCACTGAAGCAGGAGCAGCCTCTGCGCCGCCTCTCCAGCAAGCACTGACTGCCAAGAAAATGTACTCGTAAACAAAATGTTCCTCCGCCTGTGTCTGCACCCCCTTCATGGCTGCGAGGCTCACACGTGGTGTCTCGTCTGGGGGCTGTGTCACTGTCACAGACAGCAGGTAACACACTGGGGCTGCACGGAGACAGGCCAGGGAACAGCAGCACCGAAGGAAACCCAGGAACGAGGGTGCAGCTGGTTCTCCTGTGACTCTGAAACTCAGGGTAGTCTGTCTAAGTCAATGTGGGACAGAGGATCGGTCGAGTCAACCCCCAAAATCTCAAGCCAAAATGCAAAATAAGTATGTTAGAAAAAACAACCAAAACACTTTAAACATTTGTTTGAACTGACCCAACAGAACATCAGCTGCACAGCTCCCGTCCTCTCCCCTGCCCTTCTGTTATGGGTGTTCTGGAGTACAAACTGCACATCTCAAATTCCCCAGGCTGAGCAGCTCCCAAAAGTTTTGTTTCTTGTTGTTTGGGGTGTTTCCAGCACTTTTCAGGAGCCCTCTCACTGTTTATGAGCAGGATTTCACATTTCAAAGCCACAGGGCCCTGAAGCCAACCCAGCCCAGCGCAGCCTTCGCTCCAACACGTGGAATTCCGGATCTATAACTGCAGCTTATTAACACCTTCCAGGACTGATGGAAACACAAGCACATGACTCACCACTGAGCACGACTTCCAGTGGAGCTGCTTTTGCTTTAGACAACGTGAAACACTCAGATCTGCGTAAAACAGGGCACCAAACACTCTGATTCCTGCCCGTTTCCTCAATATCCGCGTTTGCTTCCCGACAGTGCCATCCGTCAGGATTAACAATCCATGCAGCTTAGCTCCAGGCTCGCCTCACACAGAGCTTTATATAGTCACAAGATATATTTGGAATACGTCAGCTCACAGCAGTCACTACACACCAGGACAATCAGCAGCCAGGTAGCCAAGATCCACACTCCAGGTTCCTGGAATTGCAGACTGGCATCAGGAGTGTCACACACCACACCCAGAAGGGCATAGCTGACCTGGGTTTCTCTCCCCAGCATCAATTTTTCTTCCCCTGAAAAGAGACTGAAGTGGCTGCAGCTGCAACTCTGGCTGATGAGGGATCCTGTCCATCAGTTACCAGAGAGCAAAAATGGGATGGATAAACATTTCTTCACCAAACTTTCACTTGCCCATAAATTCCATATATGAAACATTATTAGAGTATCAGTCCAGAATTGCAAAAAAGTTGTATTTCAAAAGCAATTCCTTTCAGGGAAAGGGCTGCACTGAAGGAAAAGGGAAGTTTTAAGGGCAAAGGTTTTTGTGTTTATTTTTGGTTAACTGCTTTAGGGCATCAACATACAGTTTGGATCAAACTCTTGGAATGCAGCAGAGGATCTGGCTTTGCATACATTGTGTTTAACATTGGTGAAAAACAATGTTCCACAAGCAGTACTTATTATTTACAGGATAAACCCACACCTGCAATAATGACAATCAACTGGGAGCACAACCTCCATCGGAGAACAGAGGAGGGATTTCAGTGCAGTGAGTGACACAGTCACTGGATTAGGTGGCAGGAAATGCTCCCCCATCCAGGAGTTAACATGGCACCTTCCAGCATCAGCCCCTGACCAGCTGAGGGTGATGGTTTTAAATCCTTCCCCCGAGGCACAGTTCTCCAAACGTGTTCCCTGTCAAACACCGACCAGACGCAGCCCAGAGAATCTGTCGTGCCCACACCAGGTGTAGCTGTGCTGAGAACCTGCCCTGCTCACCCCCTCAGCATGTTCCCATGGAGATGAAGGAACAGAAAATTCCTGAACAGATCATAATATCTGAAAAAAACCCCTTTCATAGTACATCTAACAAACAAAACCCACAAAAAAAACCTGTCTTACAGAGACCCAGCATTTTCACTTTAAATCTGGCAGAAACTGTCAAGTCTGGTAACTGAAGGGAAGGAGAACCCTGAAACCAATCCCTTCCACTTCACTTCTGAAACTCCAATTTGCCATGAACTACTTCATCTCCAACAGGCACCAAAGCCCATGTGAGGGATCCTCACGAAATAAATAAAAGTAGTTCCCTGAAGCCTTATTTTCATGCTTACAAAACAGTATTTCTCAAAGTTCCCCTAGGGAATTTTGTCACTGTTTAAAAGCTTCCATGAGAAAACACCTTGGGAGCTCATGACATCAAAAAGAGGACAAAAAACTCAACAGGTTTTGTGCTGCTCCTCACAGGAGCAAAGAGAGCCAAAGGCACCACATACCCAAACCAGAACCTGGCCAAATGAACTCAGTTTGCTGCTAATATGAAACAGAAAGAGTACAAAGAATTGTAATTTATTACAAACATCTCCAAAAGGCAGCAAATAACTCTTGGAGCTGTGGTGCCAATTCCTCACCGGCATGTGCAGTGTCCAAAGGCTTCTGCCTGTTCTAACCAGCAAATGCCCTGAAGTTTCTCCATTCTGGACCTGACACAGCCCTGAGGATCAGGTGAGATGTGCCCAAGGGAACAGACCACCAGAGCTCTGCACAGCCTGGGGGAACTGGACTGTCCCCCTGGCACCACAGGCCTTTGTGGCCCCTGTTGCTGGGTAAAATACTGCTCTTGGAAAGCTCCTGCTCCCTGTAGCAGCCTTTTCTAACTTTCTGCCTAATTAATTTGGTTTGTCATTCCAGAACATCTTTCCTTGGTTTATCGTTCCCCTCCTTCCACTCCAGTACTATTTAATGCTGCTGCATTATTTACAGCAACTGCAATATGTGGAAGATGATTTGTGCAAAGGACAGTTTACAACAAGTTGTACTGCACTATGTACTATTCCTGCTCTCTGAGGAAGCAGATATTTAATTCCCAGAACAGTAAATCCCTTAATCTGAGCAAACCCAGATATTGGGTTGAAAACTAAAATGCAGTAAGTAGCAGACAACAATATTTTCACCTTTCTAGTCGTGATTAATAAGCTGCTGTCCCAAATGCACAGCTCAAACCCTGCAACTCAGCACTGCAAGGGAAGCTCAGGTCAGGTGAAGTGTCTGGATTCACAAATCCCCCCGTCCTGCTGTGAGCCCCACACCCCTGTGAGCCCCTGCAGAGCCTCACTCACCAGCGCAGGGCGATCTTGATGGGGGTGGTGAGGCAGGAGGTGAACAGGTCTGCTGGCAGGTCGGGGATCATGGGCAGCAGCTCGTTGGCCTCGCAGGCTGCCAGCTGGATGCAGTTCTTCATGGAGGGGGGCAGCGGCATCTGCGCCAGGGGGTGGTTGGGGTTGATGGCAGCCACCTGCAGGGAGCAAGGAAACCCCCCAGGGGAGGCAGGGAGGGTCATTTCTACAGCACCAGAACCTGTGAGGAGCTGCCAGTGCCCCATGGAGCTCTGGGTTCAGAGAAGTTAAGGCATAACGTAGCACCGGCCACAGCTTTCACTCATATAATTAACAAAATTCAACTGTTAAGTATTTAATCTGTCCAAGAAGAAATACTCTATATACCAATACTGCCATTTTCCAAAACCACAGTGATGCTCCTATTTAAAATTTTGGCTAAGAATGATTTTTGAGGCTAATAATTCACAGAATGAAAACATAAATAATCTTTCCAGTGCCTTTCTGAACCAGGTAAACAAAGTAAACACTTCAACCACCCAAAATTTTGCTCTCTGGCACTCAGAAGTTCCTAAAGGCAGAGGGGATGCAGTGTAACACCTCACTGCCCGTTGCTGTAGGAGTCAGAAAGCAAAGCACCACCACAGTGACCCATGAGCTGTGTTACCAAAGCTGACAGAAGCACATTTTTCCAAAGACCAACCCTCCAGCCAGCTCAGTATGGGGATACAGTCGACTGATAAACTCATTCTTTACCATCCTTACACATGAAACACTCTGTCTGTGTGAGGAGGGAATCCATTTGGTGCCTCAGAGGGTCAAAAGGGAACAGAACATTGTGTGACAGTCCCAGGGCCTGGCACAGCCACACACCTCCCACCTGGCAAAGCAACCTGACAAGCCAGGGAGAAGTTTCTGCACCCTTTCAAGTTTTTTGATTCTTTAAAGATAATTTTTTCCATTCTAATCCCAGGGGCAGCACTGACACACTTCGGCTTTTTCCAGTTGTCTAAATTAGCTGGGACCTGTCTCTGCTCCCAGCTGAGCTGAGCTGCTTCCAGCAGAGTACAGTACCTGGGGGAATGAAGGCACCCTCAAGCCATCACTCTCAATAACACTGGAGCTCTATCATGGAATCATGGAATGGTTTGGCTTGGTAAGGACCTTACAGATCGTTTTGTCCCAACCCCCTGTATGCCAACAACTAAATAAAAGGTAATTAAAATCCTGCAAAGCTCTTTCATTTGAGGAGAAAGGTTTGAGAGGCAGCGTGGGAAAGCATTAGCTCTTCACAGATGTATAAAAACAAAGCAGTCAAACTGCTTAGCTGTGGCTGTTCACTCCCTGAAGAAAGCCCTGCCCTTGGGGCATCCCTAGAAAGGGCTCTTAGGGGGAAGCACATTTGGAGGGATTTTCAGCTCTCTGAGCACTCTGAAACACTCAGGGTGTTTGTCACAGTCTGGTGGTGCCCCTCAGGTCTGAAGGGGAGCAGCTCAGGCTCCAGGACCTGCTCAAGTCCAGCTTCTCCCCAGTATGACGAACCACAGAAACTGGTCCCACACACTGGAAATATCTGGAGATTAATTAACAACCTATCAACAACCATAAATGAACAATGGGAGCAGCCAGCAACTACAGACTTGTCAGGCTGCTCAGGACAGTGATGGGACACAGCTTTCCTGTACAGGTCAAAAAAAAGGAGAGGAAAAAAAGAGGGTTGAGTAAAGCCCACGATGAACAGTTATTTTTGCATCCTTAGAGCATCCACTAGCCTCAGACTTTCTACACTGCTTGGCTCTCTCATAAACACAACTTTTTATTAGGGCAAGATAAGGAATCAAAAGATCAGAATCCCTCTGGCAGATTAAGAGAACAGCAAACTGCTTTGATCTCCTTGCAGGAAGATGAGGAACAATTATCCTGATCACTCTGGCAGCCCCTCTGGAGCACCAGTTCCAGCTTCACTTCACTTTTCATGAATTTGAACAATTTGATAATTTATAATTTTCCAAATGAATTCCCATCCACGCTCTGCAGGATGCCCTGAGCTCTCTGCTCTCTCTGGTGCCACGTCTCTGCTTTCTATTAATCACGAGCAGGTACCTCAGTCAGTCATCACAGTTAATGAAATCTAAAGACAGAACGAAAAGCTGCCACACAAGCCTGAAAGTATTTTCATAATCATATTAATTGGTAGTTTTAACCTGTGCTGCAAGAGCAGAAATACTGAAGTGCCAAGAACAGTCACCACAAAAGCCCCCCCAGAAACTGGAATTTGGAAGGAAAGGAGTTATAGCCAGGGATACTGTTACCATCTGCTTGGAGGCTGTATTTGTGACAGTCAGCTGCTTGATTAATTAACACTCCTTCCTTGAAGTTTTGGGGTTTTTTTCATATAGTACCTCAGAGCTGTGAGAGTTTAAGAAGTGACCCTTTACAAATGTCCTCTCCCAGGAAGCTGAAGGCAGCAGGGGGGTCTGGCAGGTGGGAGTCTGCACAAAAAATTCAACTTCTTCCCTTCCACTTTGCATTTCAGATCTACTTCAATGAATTTATTACTAATTCCATTTGTAACCAAAGACAGCTTTTCAGTGGGAACACATTCAGCTTCAGCACTCTGTGGAACTGGAACCACCACAGGACAATCCCTCCGGATGAGGTTTTTGTTGTTTCACATTTTCTCATTCACTTTAACAGCACAAAACCATAACTGCACCCAAATACAGCCCCAGAAACCAGGCTTTTGTAACCAAAATAAATGTCTCGTTCACCTCAGCATTCATTGCAGCACAAAAGACCATTAGGGTCCAAATTGATTCTATTAACGTTAACATTTAATTAGTGCTTGTATTAAAAACCATTCCAAGTTTAATGGGATAGCAAACTGAACCAGAAAGATTGGAGTGGCAAAGCTATTTGCAAATTAATTTGCCTTCCAACATGGTTTTAAACACATTTTTCAGTGTACACAGCAAAGCAAGCTTGAAGTTCATTTGTGTTCACTGAACACCACCAAAGCTCTGCAGCCTGTGCTCTCACCTCCAGCTCCTGCTCCCTCTGTAGTGCAAATTGCTTGAAGGACTTGACAATAAGGCCGGCGTTGGAGCAGTCGTAGACGAAGATGGAAGGACTTCCCATCCAGGTCTGCAGGTCGTATATGGAGAGTGGGATGTACTGAGTGTAGTTCTGTAGGAGAAAAACACCCACTCCAGTCACCATGAGGCAGAGAAACAACAGAACTTGAACTGGTGAGATAACAGAACACACCCATAAATTTCCAATTCTGAAATCCCCAAATAAAACCTACATTGACCATATTAATCAATTCAAGTATCAGGCAATAGCTACCAAAAACTAGGACTGGGAACCCAAGTCAACACTAACCACGAGCAGATTTTATTGTGCCATTGTTTGAAACATTCAACTCCAAACTAAAAGCCCAAAACTCCACCAGGCATTTTCAGTATTAGGTATTTAGAGCTCTGATTTGTGCTAACAACTCCAAACAGCATTTAATAGTCCAATTTTATCCCAAATTTCTGCAACACTGATAAAGGATGCAAACCAGCTGTCTTTAATTTAACATCAAACATCCTAAACTGAAAAGCCCATCAATAAATCAAGAAGGATAATTAAGCCCCTGCAGCCCATCAGCCCTACCCTGCCTGAGCTTAACGAGATGCTTCATAATTTTATTACAGCTTTAACTTCTGTGCAACTTTCTGAATTATCCAATAAAATTAAAACCAACAAAGCTGCCTTCGACAGAGCGAAGTACCCACAGCCCCCTTTCTGTAAATAGGAAGGATTTTGTTCTGTGTCTCCCATTTTAACGCCCCCAAATAACCGGGGGCAAGAGCATAAAAATCAGACATTTAAAACCAGCTGTGAAGGGCCAACCCTGAACTAATTGAGCCGAAAATATAAACCAGAGAGGATTTCTGCCTGCAAAGAGTCACCACCAAACACCCAGTGGCTGCCAGCAAGATCCTTCCCAGCTGCAGGGACAGGACAACCTGGCGTTCCTACAGCCCTGAGCTTGGCCCAAAACCCTCAGGAAAAGCTGTGGTGTTCCTATTAACATCAGCAGAATGATGGATGGGATCATAACTCCCATTTAAATTCAAAAGACTTAAAATAGCTGTAATAAAACCAGTAAACTTTTGCAAAAATCAAATTTTCAAGGACACGTATCAGTGTCGATAAAGACAAAAGGGATCATAAACCATATGTTACGTAAGGTGGGGAAGGGTAAGGCATTTCCAAACCCAGTTTTGCCCATATATAACAGTTTCGGTTGTTTTATTAAAATTAACAGGAGAAATTGTTTATAAAAGCCACAGTTTTGGGGAGTTGGGAGCTCTGCAGATCACTGCAGGATGGAAATGATGCATGAACAGCTCCTCTACAGCACAGACCTTTCTTAAGGTCATTCCTCCCATGAAGCACATTCCAGTCACAGGAAGTTACACATAAAATACCTGCTCTGACACATCCAATCAACGACATTTTATGGGCATGAATTGTTTTAAATTCATATTTCTAATGCATCTGGCTCTAGCCAAGACTGGATTATAGCTCTGATTAATATTGTGGTATTTCCAACCAGGAGAATTTTATATTCCAACTCTACTGTGGGGGTCACATAAAACATCAACATTTGCTAATGATATGTAAATGAGCTAATTTGAAGAAAAAAGGAGTGTTAACTAAGAGTTTTGCAGCGTGGTTGTTCAGGGTGATGCTTTGATGCTGCCTGGGTTGGGCAGAACTCGGTTGGATGGTTTGTTCCCTGACTTTGGTTTGTAGGGAGAAGTTCCTGCTCTGCTCCCACTGCTCCCACCATCCCTCTGTGCTTCTTTACGGGAACGACACAACAAACATCCCAACTGGGAATGGGCTGGGAACAGATTTCACCACCACTGGCCGGTGAGCCCAGAGTGCAGCTGCTCTCAACAGAACCCCTCAAGAACTCGGAGCAGGAGGCAGAGGCAGCTGGGCCCCACCTTGTTGAAGACCCAGATCTCCCCGTTGACGGTGGGCCGGGGCACGCCGTGCCCGTTGTAGTGGAACAGCACCCGCTCCTCCTTGGCGTTGCGCCGCAGGGACGTGCACAGCTTCTTCACCTCGTCCACCGTCGGGTCCAGGCTCTGCTTGTACCTGGCCTGGGGCACAGAACAGAGAACCCTTCAGCTGTGGGAAACAACCACTTCACATACTGGGGGCCACAGGAATGTGCACAGAAACTGTTTACTCTGGGAGAAGAAAACATTTCCAGTAGAGCTGAACAAACAAAGTACGTCTGCGATGGTGTGTGGGCCTGTGCACACACGCACACCAACAACACGGGTTTGAGGGAGTTTATCACAGCTCCCAACTCTGATCCATTTCACTCAGCAATTATTAATATTCAAAAAGCCTCGGGAAGGAGAAATCTGTTGCAACATTGGCCAGACTCAAAACTAACCCCTCATGATGACTGGCAACCAGTGACAGGACCTGAGTCCTGTACAAACCCTGCCATTAGGAGCCTGTTTATAAACCAAACTAAGGCCTCAGAAGTTTGGGCTTTTTAGGTTTTCCTCTATGACAGGGAAAGATAAGAAAGTCTTAAAATATCAAGGTAAAAGAGGATCAAGCACTTTAATGTAGAAATGGTTTGTTTATCTATGAAGCTTGAAAAGCAGATAACGGTGCTGCTCAATTAACAGTGAGCATCCCCAGCCAGCAGGGAAGAGGGACACAAGGAATGGCAGCACTTAATGATTGCAACAATGGAGAAAAGCAAGCAAAAGGAGGAAAAATATAAAGCAAGAAGCAGTGATGTGACACCCTCATCCTTCTCAGGAACCTTGGCACTCAGGAGAACGAAGAGGCCACATTAATCTTCCCACGGATCCTCCACCTCCTCCTCTCTCCACTCAGTGCTGTGATGAAGACGCTGATTTGCAAAAATGTGCCCCTTAAATCCTAGCCTGCCTGTTGGCAGCTTTACCAGCCACCAGAACCAGAGTGCTGGGGGATTTTTCAGCCTTTTTTCCACAGGAGAACCCACTCATTCGAGCCCTCCTCGTGTCCCTCGCGCACCAATACTAAACACAGCTCACAATTAATGGAGGGGCATTCATACTCTGAAACTAAAGTCTGTAGACCTAAACATCCAAATAGCTATCTAAATAGCACTGGCCATATTTAATGCTTAAATCTGAAGTGAGGTGGCTCTGCCCCAAAGCCCATTGCCTATGGACACACTCTCACACAATTAGTTATTTTTCAAGCATGAAATCACCTTGTAATGACGTGCAGGAAAACCAACACCAGGATGAATTTCAGTAAGCTGAGAAGCCACAGAGCTGGCCTGGACATCACCAGCCACCATCAGCCACACGCAACAAGACCCCCCAGTTCCCACATTCCCATCACATCTCCAGGAGCCACAGAACAAGAAGTATAAACTAAATTAACTCAAGTATTGAATTACTGAGCATCACCTGGAGAAGGTAACAGCATTTGAAACTGTCTGGGTAGCAGGAAAAGGGAAACCAGGAAGCAGGACTTCAGTCTTTAAAGGAATCCAGAGGAAATCCAGAGCAGGCTGAGCTCTGTGCTGGGCACTTGGTCAGAATAACAATAAACAAACAGAACAATGAACAAACACCTCAGGGAAGAGCCCATTCAGCAACTTTAATGAGGAGTCAGACTTTTTAAATCAAACTCTTATCTTGTAGAGTTTTTTTAAGAAATCAAAGAGTCTGGAGATGAGAGGAAGTATCTTTTTTATATAAACCCATTTGGATTCCCAGAGGATATTTAGTAAGATCTCAACACAAGATTGGGAGGAAAAGTCCATATATAAAGACTTGCTTATGAAACAGGCAGGTGGGGGGAGAATCCTTAATTTTGTCCACAGAGAGAAGTCGCTGGGAAGTTCCAAGAGGATCAGTTTTGTAGCCTGACTCATCCAACACTACTAAACACTGTGGGAAGGGGCAGCAGGAATACGACTGCCTGGTGGTGGCAGAGGGTGGTCCCGGATCCCTGCAGGCAGACCCTGCCACGGGGACAGGCCCAGCAGTGGTTTGGAAGAGGATTTTCACTACCATTGTTTTATACTCACGAATTCCTTTTCCACTGACTCCATCACTACGGACTCCTCCCGGTGCTCTGTCTCCCTGCACGATGCCAGGCTGGCCTGCTGCCAGGCCTGCTGCCAGGCCTTCTGAGGGGGGAGCTCTTCTAGTGAAAAACTACAAACTTCACTCATAAACAAAAACACTTTGTTCTTTGGTTCATTCAGAACAGTGATTAATATCTCAGGCCTGCGATTCACCGTGATTTAATTTTAATACTGACTAAACCACAGCTTTTTTCTTGCATCAAAGGAAGATTTAGGATCCTGCATTTGCACTGGCTTTGGAGACACATCAAAGAACAGATGAATTCAGAGCTGTACACGAACACTTATCTTTGCACAACTGCACAATAAACAAACAATCACAGACAAGAACTCTTTCAGGAGCAGTAGAATCAAGCCAAATTTTCTGCTCATTTTGGGGTTTTCTATCACCTTGCAGCCTCCTCCTGAAGGTTTGGCTGTTTTCACTGAATATTTAGGGTGAATTCAAATTCCGAATTCTCAACCCTTTTACAAATGGCCCGTCCCAGGTTGCTGGGATGAGCTGGGGGTGCACGATGCAGTCCCACAGCACATGGTTTAACAGCCTGGCTTCCTCAGGAAACCAGTCAAAAACACACTCAGTCTTTGGAATTCATGTAGGAACATGTTCTGCTCTACCCCAGTACAAGCCTTGGTTTAAAATAACCCTTAACTGTATCCCAGAGACACAAACAGCAGCAGGAGCCTGTTGTGTGGTAACTTCAGATAACTCAGCACTGTAAGAAGTGACTGCAATTTATCCCTACTTTCCATCAGTCATAAACCCAATTGCCTTAAGCCCAAGCTGATATGGCCACAATAACTCTTGGGTTAGACACATCATGCAAATGCAAATTATTCTGGACCACAGCCATAGACTCCAGGCTTTTTAATTTTTATTTTTTTAAAAAACCCCCACCTTTCAGGTGTTTTAATTTTGGCTGTGGGCACATGAAATTACCCTGATGTAAATTCATGAGGATTAGTCCAAGATAATAAAAACTGCATATTTAAGTACAAGGGAGTGTGCTGGAAATCCCAAATTGACGTTATAAGTTGCAGCTTAACCTGGTTAACACGGGACATGAGAAAACATTGCTGATAAAATTATTAGCCACTGCTGACTTGAAAAGTACTAATTACAGTGAAGACACACTATAACTTAGAGCTGCTGAAGTTTAAATGCCTAACCAAGCCAAGGGAAGACTCTGGCCAGTCTCAGGCCAGTCCTCTGAGGCCTTTGGCTGCATCTCAAACCCATCTCTGTCTCTCCGTGCTGATTCCCTGTGGAGCAGCCCGAGCCTCCCCCGGGGAATGTGCTGATGCCCAGGATGGGATGCACTGCTGGAGCTGAGCTCTGAGTGTGCCACATTTCCTCTCCTGCCTGGAGTCAGCACTGTGGTGACTTTACCTTCCCTCTGCAGAGTCTCTGACCTTGCTTTTAAGTCCAATGTGAAATGAATCCTGAAGTACCTAATCCTCATTGTACAGACTCGGGATTCAGTAATACTTCCAAAAAAAACACCTTGGAGCAGTTTGTTCATGAGAACTGATGTTGACAGGGAAGACAAAAATCAGGACTACTAACCTTGAGTGTCTGCTATAACACATCCAGGAGACAGGTGTGTGCCTCAGCAGTTACAAGCTGCTTCACACTGCAGCTCTGTGCCAAGGTTTACAGAAATTCCGCCCACCAGCCTGACCTGCTTGGTACAAATCCCTCCCTCTCTGCTCAAATAAACATTCTGAGAGGGCTGTGTAAATAACAGTTCATTTTTAAACAAAGGGAATTGTAAAAGAACTCGAGTCTGCTTCTCATCCACCAGATCTGCATCCTCAGCCCGCTGGATGGGTCACATCACAAAATGCCCTAACAGGATTTCAAGTACACCCCAGGACACATCCTTAAAACCTGCTTAGTCAAACAACCTAACTCCTGAGTATCAGTGTCATTTTAGTCCCATTCCTTCTCTAGAACCTCAGTTTTAAGACCTCTACAGTTTTAGGCTCCACATCTTGTTTCTAAAATACAAACTTAAAAGCTACTGGGACCCCAGTTTAGGCTGCAGGACCACAAACTGGTGCATCCTCAAACTGGCCCAAGTGCATCCTGCTCGCAGGAAGCAGCTGCAAGGTTGGACTCATGCAGGGCAAGAAGTTCATCTTCTCAACACTAAATAATTATTCAGTAATTTCAAGTTTTCCTCTGATTGCAAAGTAATTGTTTAATAAAGCAATATTCTGATTAAAAACAACTTAATGAGTCAGCAGAAGGAAAACCAATTGTTCTGAGGTTTATGCTTTGTTAAGCTCTATAGGAAAGGGGTTAAACCCAAAGCATTTCACACTTTTCTCATTCTGCCTTAGAGATGAGCAGGAATACAAATAAAAATGTCAATAGTTTTCTCTGCTAATGCTCTGAGTTTTGCACAAAACTGGTGACTGTCAGAAAGAAGCTCCAGCTGTGTAATACAGCAACCTTTGCATGTCCAAGTCTGCAAGCACTGAATCCCTTGGCCAGGGTGGCATTTACAGATAAAGAGCACCAAGGATGCTGCCAGGGGATGTGCAGGAGGCTCCTCCCTGTCTCCCACTGCCAGGGACTCACCACTCCCCACAGAACACAAAGACAAGGTGTTTCTAAATAGGTCACCCAGAGATGGGTGGTAATTACAGAAACACATTAATCAGCTTTGCGAGGCAGAGCTGCTTTTCTCTTCAAGAAGCCTTTTAACATCAGCTCTGTCTTCCCATCTCAGGACAAACTGACATCAATGGTCAGAGCAAAACACCCTCAAACACACAAATCTTGCTCGTCTGCCAATTCTGGCCCCGTTTGGATGACAAAGCACAAACCAAAACCCAGGTGAAGTATAAAATATGTGAATGGATGTTACTGTCAGGAGAGTGTGGAAAGCAAGGCAAGAGTAAGCACGGTCACTAAAGGGCTGCCTTCAACACAGGATCTCAGAATAACAGGAATTCAGATGCTGGGTGATAAATCCAAGG